TCTGCATGCAGAGACAAGGGCACATTTTAGATATTCTAGATTATTTTTTTCCCCATATTTTTCCATATTCAGTCTTCTGGGACCAGAAATTATGTTCCCTGTAAATGACGACTAATCTGATCTGCGTGGGTGAGTAATATTTTTTTTGTGCAAACGTAACCTCAGTGGGCTGATTGTTGAAATTGATAGACAAAGCTATAGACGAAGAAGACATAGGGAGTGTGGAGCGCTTCTGTTGGTTGAAACGGGTGGTCCCTTGGTCCCTGTTGACGAAGGGAGAAAATAATGAACTAACTGTATGGTCTCTCATGAGCTGCCATTAGTTAGTTACCTACCTCCTTTCTCCAATGCAACCACCCGCTTCCACCAATAATATCCCTTTTGTCTTCTTCGTCTACAGCTTTGTCTATAAATTTTAACAATCAGCCCGCAGTTTGACCTGCGATGTGTAAGAAATATTTTGTGTACAAATGTGACTTCAGGACTGAGTTATGAAATATAACTTTTTGGACGTAATTTATTGATTTTGTAAGTTGAATTAGAACTTATTTCTATGCGTATGGTAAAAATGAGCTCAGGATTAAAAAAATCTCTCTAAGAACACATGTGAGTTTCGTTTGTACCTTTTCTAAAATCCCTAATTTTTAATGTAGGAAGAGATAAAGGTGAAGAGGGGGAGGAAGAGAGAGAGATAAATCAGGAAACAAGCAACAAAAGCAAGTTTGCGACTTGACTAGCGGTAATCAGAAGTAATGTACCTTTTATTTTATATATTATATACACTGATCTCCCTCGTACATAGTGATATTCTTCTCTCCGGTGATCAACCTAGCCAACTACAAGACCGGTGACAGCACGATCTCTGCTGAGTCTCTTAAAAGTTTTGATGTGTAGGGCGTGGAAAATACTCGCGCAAAGCGGTGAAAGACAACGAGATGTTTAACAAACACCTCCACGACTTATGCATAATTTACGAACCAGGTGAGACCACTTAAGAGTTTCAAACATCTCCACTAGGACTTGCCCAATGATGATGGAATCACTCGTACCAAGTTTTATATTTTAGAAACTTATAATTCAAAGTATCTTTTTCGACCTACTTTTCTCCGGGCATAAAGCACAAGTTGCAACGAATTGCGATTACATGGTTGAATTATCGCTATTGCATCTGAGTGTCATACGTGTTGCTTATCTACTGACTGAAGGGGCTCCTTATTGAAATTCGTTACAATAAAATTTATATGAACTACAATTTTTCTCAACATTGCAAATCGTTATCTTTCTGATACCTACATGAAGCTGGTTTTATTGATCGTTTAAAATCGGGATTTTTGACCAAATGATTTAAAAATATTGCAACTCCACGATGGAAAAAAAATTCAAGTTTCCTGCATTGGATAACTTCATTTCAACATTTTTGTTCCACGACTGCACTACATGGAGATGCAAAATAGCCTTTAAAAGTCTAGGGTGGTGACGAAGAAGATAATTGGTGAAAGGTATCCTCTCGTTGTCTCGCCCATTTTGTACTGCCTGAAATATTCAAAATGTATTGGTACGTTAAGCGGAATCTAAGTCAACTGGATTGTTTGTTTTTTACAACAGATATTCACACAGACGTCAAATTTTAATTTATCAGTAGCTCAAGCTCTAAAAAGAGCAAAACTAATACCATCAATCGGTTGCACAGTTGGTCAGTCGCAATGGTCGCGAAGTAGTTTTTATACTAAAAACGTAGGGTATCAAACATATCGAGTTCTGTTCGAGAACGTAGAGTTTTCGAACAGAACTTGATATGTTTGATACCCTTTAAAACGGGCCAAGATCTTCGAATCACGAAAGAAAGTAAAAAATAGAAAATGTGCGTTACGTAATTTCAAATTCTCTTCAACTGTAATGCTACCTCCTAATTTTTTTTCTTTTAAGTAATCCATGCACATCCATTAGCACCTTGAGAAAGTTTTACTTTTTTCAAATATATTGCCAGTGGATGAGTTCAACCACTGGCAATCACTGGGGAATGGTTGGATTCCATAGCAGCCAGGGAGCGCGCCCATTAAGATGGTGACATATGACCGTCTGCAATAGTATGTGTTGTGCATCGATAAGACATGCACGCAAAACAATCGAAGGAACCAAAGGAGACTCTCCGTCAGCCAAATAAGAGTAACTTCATTTTCGGACGTAAAAATCTCCTTCAGAATGATGCATATGCAACCTGACGACAACCGAGGCTGAATAGTTATCACTCGATGTTGAAGGGGCACTCAGCAGGTGCCCCTTTTTTAGCTTTTTTTAAAGAGGTTAGACATCACAAGTATGGAAGGGGGGGAAATTATGTTTATCTCAACGTTCAAAAATTTTCACATCTGCAATATTGTTTAATGCAAAATGTCTCAAAATCATATTTGAAACGTTGAAAGAACGTATCTCACAATGTGATGAAAATTCACACTATGATAAATGCAGTTATTCTCGCTGATTCTACTTTTCAACACTAAAATATGGAAAGAAATTCTGCAATTTTATGATGTCATTCGTCTTTTTTCTCAAAGATGGCTCTATGTAGAGAGTTTGATCGATCAACTGTCAAAGAAATATCTAAGTTTTTATCAATTAGTGCCATTGAAAGCTACCTTAAAGCGAATATTTTTAATGTGAAAGGCAGAAAGAGCTCCAGTAAAGAATGTAGCACAAACTAAAGTTGAAAATTACAAATGTATGTATAATTTTACTGGATGGCATTTTGAAAAAAAAATATTAATTTTTTTCTCGCCCAGGTCCTCAGATGAATTAAGGTTTAGATGAACATGATCATTTTTGGAGATATCTAATCTTCCGTCACAAGTGTAATTCCAAACATTATGCATTGACGTTGTCACACGAAAAATATTCGCATGACATTAGATCGGAGTACTTAGCATCACATTGAATACTTCACGCCACACCGTCAAGTTGGAGAGGGGGGGGAGGGCAGGCTTACTCCCAAAAACTTAAAACCTCCACCGGTCGTTTTTTGAAAACCAGACCATCTTGATAGCTTGGTCTTTCGACATAATATTATAGGGTTGATTAAATTTAAAACAATATCAAAGTTTAAACGAAAATTCTCGCATAAAGTTTTAGTTGGATTGCTAAAGGAAGAATAAAAAAACGTTCTCACGGTCACCCCTGATCAATCCTTTTTTGGAATTCGTGTTTATAATGTGTTTATTTAAAGAAGTAAGGTAGAGAGAGAGGAAATCGAGGGAAAATGGCAACAATGGCTTACTTCGGGTACTAAAATTTGTGTGGAAAGTCGTTTGGAGTTTAAAATCTGGAGTTTAAAACCTTGAATTTTACGACTTACATGTTCATTGGCGTTTGAACAAAAAAGGTCATACCTTGTAATGGGTGACCAAGGGAAGGGACTCAATGGTTTGCACAGTTATATTAGATTGTCCATAAGGAGAAAACAACCGATCTGGATTCGACGAATAGATCCTCTATCTTATCATTTCTGCAAACTCCTACCACTTCTACATATGGCTATACATTTTGCGTCCACAGTTATAATTTTGACTGCAATCCAGGGGTGCAGCCAATGGGTTGAGGGTTGCAAGGGCCGCGAGGAGGCAGTTGAGTTTTTTTTAACAAGAGAACATTCGTACGGATTATTTTGAAAATTTTAAGGAATTTGCTCCGCAACATGCAGAAGCTCACTGAAATTTGCACAAAAATCCGAACTACCGTCCTCTTGTAAAAAATTAAATTGCCAATTTTTGGCACCAACATATAATAAACGGTGTAAGTCGGCAATCACATAACTCGTTGGTGGTGTCTGAAAATCTCCGAATCTAAGTTAATTTTTTAAAGGAGAACAAATTGACATCATTCCTTGAAGTTTATGCAGAATTTTCTTCGCGCAGAGAAGAAAAATCACGGCAGTTTTGAAGAATTGCCGTTGAGTAGTTTTTCCTCTAAAAAATAAAGTATGACAGGAAGTCTGCGACGTCGCAAACCAAGTTCTGTGATTGCCGACTTACACCGTCGATATATGGCTTGGTTCTTTTCTGCTTAACGCGGTCCCATTAAGCTACTCTGCCGTGCTAAGGAAAAACGCCGTATGAGCATTCAAGAGTTGCCAAATTCCCATTGATAAAACATGTACTTTTCAGGACAACCATGCACATTTTCTTTGAAATTTTCCGATATTTTAGATGAAATTGCGTGCAGGATTGTGTGAAAATTTAAGGAAAAATATTCACAATTTTCCTGGTAAATTCGGTATTTTTCGAAGGAAACTTGGCAACGTCTGAAAGCTCATACGGCGTTCTTCCTTAGCACGGCAGTACTGCTCCATGATGACACGAATGCATTTGTAGGTTACTCATTTAAAATCAACCAAAAGATTATCCAGCAGATGAATATCAGAAAACATGCACTTTATTTTGCGATCCGTGGTTCATGACGACTAAAGATTCTCAGAAAAACATACAGAGGTTCGAATCTCAAACCTTTTGAACCCAATTCCGTCCACGCCCATGGCCCATGTGCAAGACAAAGGCCCCCAGACACACACATTGTGCGGATGAATGTCATCCGCGCTGAAAAATTCAAAGGCCCGAGAGTCGAAAGTACCGAATAATGAGGCGGGAATGAATGGCTGGCTCGCTAAATAGGAGTGAGTACATTCGAGAAAGCATCAGCGCCTAACAAAACAGCGAACGCAATTGGCGGAGAGACACCCGTCCGCCATTAAGGACAGAGTCTCAAAGGAAGTGAATAGTAAATTAAAACTCCTTACTCAAATGCTACCTCCCGAGACTTGGTATTGATCCCACTTCTGCACAGCAGCCCGTTACTCTTTAATTCTTACAATCGACAAAATTTCGGTCGCCATCCCTCATTATCCTCCATCCGACCCTAAAATTGCGATTTTGGATTCGAAGTCACGATCTCACCCCTTCCCACCCTCCCCCGAGCTTTTGTCCACTATCAATCGGAATGATTTGACTCACCTTAATCTGGACTGCGGCCGCTGCAGCCTCTGGATCCGAAAGGTCAGCACAAAAATTTGAAGCAGGAATACTGATGCATTGAATTGCGATCGATCTGAATAGATTCTAGTATACTTAAACTGCCGGACGAAATGTAGTAAATGGAGCTATCTTCAACGGGGAATTGCAGGGATTCGCATTATTCTTACTAAACTTTATCACCGATCAAATAATCAAGAACATGACAAATCGTAGATGTTTATTATACCTTTGTACCGATCGGGTTCAAACAAAGCAGCTCGTGCGGCAAATTCGGCGGCGAATTTTGTAGGTACGTTTTCTCTATCGAGTATACTTGCAAAAGACGAACAAAATAATGGAGCTCTAATTTTCCGTCGCGCACAGAACAGAAGTCCGCACTAGAATACGCTAAACTCGCAAAATTAGAAAACAAAATTCTTCGGTACAAATGCTAAAAAAATACTAATGTATAATCGCAGCACGACACAATACGAAAATTGATACAAAAAGAAGTAGGAATAATTTTGTACACAAATACCGCAGAGTTAAAGCATAACCGCCAGCGTATCTCGATACTAATAGGTCGTTTCGCTGTTCGTTCGATCGTCACCGAAGATCCAATCAGTTTTCGTCCGCTTACACACAGAATGGAGGCCAAGTGTACATTGTGACCGATCCCAATCAAAGACACTGTTTATGAATTCCGAACTTATCCTACTTGAGTCGACTTCTAAAAAAACAGGTTACGAAACGGTACCCCGGGAGGAGACACGGGGATTTTTGCACTAATTGTTGACTTACGTTCTTGTTTCCGGAAAAAAACGCGAGAGTAGCAAAATCGTAAATGAATCATGTAAAAAACGCTAAAAGGGGTAGGGTCGGGGCGCTGTAAAAAACTAGACGTAACACAAACCGACGACACAGTCAATTACACGGCTGCGGCAGGACGAGGCGGAGAGGAACTCACGACGAATCCGGTTCATGTTTATCTATTTCTATAATTAATTATTGTTTTTTTGTTTTTCTTTTTTTGGCGTGCGAGGGACAGTGTGATAAGGCGATGACTTTTCGCATGAGGGACTGGTAACTGGAATCGGGGACGCCCTCTTAGATGGAAATATCGACGTCACATGCGCACGCAGGGCTGGAGCACGCAGGCCCGAAAGTTTCCACCCTTTCAAGCTCGCTCAATCCGCCAGCGCGAGACGCCGAGCAGTTCCGAACGCATTGTGCCCTTTTCGACACCGTCATAGCTTCCATCGCGGCCCGCGCACCGAAACGGAATAAACACATACCAACACCACACTTTTATTCTTACTTCCTTTGAGTACTTTCCTCTTACAATCGTATCAGAATGGACCACTAGACTAGGTAAGAATTGAGGCTCTCAGATGCATATTCCCTCATCGAATTTTCACGTGAAACACGTTGAGAATGCTCAAAATTAACTCTAAAGTGAAAAAAATGGACGTATTTATGGTAAAAGGAACTATGTGCATAGGGCTTGCGAGGAGCATAGTTCCTTTTCCAATACGTCCAAATATCGTAAGGAAAAAGGACGTATGAGCATTCAAGCGTTGCCAAATTTCCTCTGATGATAGATGTATTTTGGAAGAAAGTTGCGCATAGTTTTCCTTTAAATTTTCATGTATTCTTGAGTATATTGCGAACAAAATTTTCTGAAAAATTGGAAGAGAAATATTTACAACTTTTCCAATCAATTCGTATGTTGTCAAAAGAAATTTGGCTATGCCTAAAGGTTCATACGGCATTCTTTCTTGGCACGGAAGTAAATTTTTACAATAAATCATTCGATCAATAAAGTCAAATCTCCCGCCGCAGAAAGAAAACCAAAATCAACGTAAGCTTTGTGCAAAGGAGTCATATATTTTCCCTCTTTTTATTTCAGCGTGGATCAGTTTGACCTTTTAGAACCGATATCCATGTTTGGAAAATAGATAAGTCCAGAAAATCTCCATTCTCTTTTGGCACACGTTACTTTTCTGGGTACCAGAGAGTATTTAGCACTCTGAGAAAATTGTTTGATGATAATGGGCCTGTTGCATGCAAGAGATACAGCCGTGCGAATAGACTTTTAGAGGTTAAATGACACGAAAATTACGATGGTCACACTAAAAAAAGTCTGAAATACACTCCTTACTGCGCAATTTGCGTTGTTAGGAACGCGCTTTTTCAAATTTCCCGCGTCTGGGGGCAGTTTTCTAACGGCAACTCGCGGCTATTTCCGGTCAACTAGAACTGACAACATAACCTAAAAATCGGAGCTCGTGATATCGTGAAATGAAATGCAGAAGGATTGCGTTGGATATTTAAAAGTTGATCGATTTCGTTACCACATAAAGCGTACATGGACCACTATATGAGATCACGTTGGGTTTGTAAACAAACTGAAGGAAAAAATAACAACAACAACAACAACGACTCGGCATCTTCCGGAAATCACCGAGCCCGCCGTTTGCTCGTTTCCGGTGATTAGAAAACTGCCCCCAGACGCGGGAAATTTGAAAAAGCGCGTTCCTAACAACGCAAATTGCGCAGTAAGGAGTGTATTTCAGACTTTTTCAATGAGACCATCGTAATTTTCGTGTCATTTAACCCCTAAAAAGTCTATTCGCGCGGCTGTATCTCTTGCATGCAACAGGCCCATTTACAGGTTTTTCGGCAAACGGGAAACTCAAAGCGCTAATTTTTCACTTACGAGTTAATTTTGTATATTTTGAATGGGACGACTATTTTTTACGTGAAATTTTGATGAGGTAACGTGTATTCTGATGATTCATTCCTCGCCACTTCTAGTGGTCCACCATCAAAAATAAGAGTTTTCACATGAAGTCATCTCCGCTATTTCTATACAACTCTTTCATTTCCTACTTACACACACATATTCAAACCTATTTCACAAAGAACGTGCGGTCCTCTATCAGAGAATATATTTTAACGTTACGAATATAAAATTAAAGCGCTAGAATAATTCAAACTCACCTATGTGTATTTACGGTCTAATTAAAAAAACGGAGAGGAGGCACTTGAAAAATCTTCTTCAATTTTGCGTGATACTAGAAAGCAACTGCCAAGCTCAAAGAGTGGCCTAAGTACTCGATTTTTGCTCTCACTGCCAGTAATAATATTGGGAAATTTGAGTACCCTGTTATATGGATTACATTTTCCGAAAAGGAACCACTATTTCTGGCCCATTTTAGAAACACCATATATGCCATTTGTTTCCCTATGCAGATACGTGCTTTTATGAAAGAGCCAGAGATAGTAGTTCCTTATGGCAAAATGCAATCCATATTTCGTACGGATAATCCCTGAAAGTGAGGACTAGTGTCTGAGAGGAGGCAGATACGCAGTTAGAAATTCAAGACGAGATAAAGTTATCTTCGAAAAGAAAAATAACACCTTAATGGACTATCCATAAATTGAGTGAAGCAATTTTGCCACTTCCCCTAGCCTTTTTGCCTTTTTAGACACCTCCTTGCCCTCGTAAAATTGAAAGACAGACCAGCGGGGCGATTATTGAAACTGATGGACAAAGCAATAGACAAAGAAGACATAGGGAGTATGGAGCGATCTTATTGGTTGACATGGTTGGTTCTTATAGACTGAGGAAGAAAATGATGGACTAACTGTCGGGTCTTTAGTGGGTTGCCGTTAGTTAGTCTATTACCAACATCCTATGTCCATTGCCACCGCCAGTTTCTACCAATAGGATCCCTCCAAATCCCTTTTGTCGTCTTTGTCTATAGCTTTGTCTGTCAGTTTCAATAATCGGCCCGCTGGACTCCTCGCCCATCCAACCTTCCCCTGGTAAAAATTGGCAGTAGAATCTTTGTTCCAAAATACCATAGACCTACAACCGGCTGTAAGATTTCCAATAGCTTCTATAGCCGGCAACACAATTTTTCATAGCCTTTTATAGCCGATGGCGATTAAGCAACAGCCTGGCGATAAAGTGTATGCTAAACGTTACTAATTACGGATGTTAGGACTTAGTGAGTTTTTGGACTACCGCTCTCTTTTTGGGCCGCAGTATCTTAATTTAATTTGCGAGGATAGCTCCGTACTTTTGAAGGAAGCCTGCCATTCCTAATATTTTGGAGCGCCTTCAATTTCGTATGATACTGTGCAATACCTCTGGTGTGAAATGGTTGCTTCAAGCGCCGCGGTACACTGCGGCGCGGCGCGGCAGGCGGGCAGCCAGCGCTGAACGCGCATTGGCGCCTACAAACCTAACAGGGATACTTCACGCATTGCGCAATGCGTGAAGTATCCCTGTTAGGTTTGTAGGCGCCAGTGCGCCGCCGCTCCGCTTTGTGTTAGGCTGTAATATTTAATCTCGCGGTGTCAGCGTTTTTCAACTCATGACTTTGAAATGTTTGCACACTCTGTATGGATTATTCTCATTTTAATTGATGAAAAAAAAATGTGTAGTAAAGAAAAATATAATGTGCGTTTTGTAAATATTAAGGTGATTCCGTACAAACTTAAGGATTTACAAAGCACAAGAATTTCTACACAATTTCTTATAGCCTTTTATAGCCGATGGCGAAAAAGCATCAGCCAGGCGATAAAGTGTAAAGCCCGGCGATAGGAACTACAGCCCGGCTGTATAATTTTTTATCGCTTCGTGTAGCCCGGTCATATGATTTTTTCCACTTTCTACAGCCAGCTATATGATTTTCTATCGCCCTCTTCAGTTGGCTATAAGAACTCCTATGGCATTTTGAAACTCAGCTCCTATCGCCAATTTTTACCAGGGTCTTGATTGTAATATCAGGAGGATGAGGGACAACTAGGACAATCCCCTTCGTTTTTGTTTGAAAGTAAAAGATCATACGGTCCAAATTTTACTCATTACAATTTGATCCACTTCGTCAAAATTATTTACATTTGTTTCTTCATGTTTCTTACTTTGATAAAAAAAAAAAAAGTTTCATACTCGTTTTAAAAACGTTTCATAACAACCGAGCCAAAGGAAAGAGAAACTATTATTATGCATCACTTTATGCGCTTCATAAAAAGTAAAACAATATTACAATAACAACATAAACACAATAGATACACAATTAAGGACAAATCGCACAAGTGCAAGTTTTGAGAAATTGAAATATTGTTGATTTTATAACTAAAAATACTTTTAAAATATTGTATTCTGTGGAAAATTTACAGCTGAAATCTTATTTTAAGCATAAAAAAGTGAAGGCTTCATCTTAAAATGACAGAAATTGCAACTTATGCGCCTAGTCCTCTGAGCCTCTCAATTATCGTAGCTGAATTTTTAAAATCCAATACAACATACAATACAATAACATAGGCCTTTGATAAAATCACTACCGTCAAGAAGCAGGTAAGAGACAGCGGGAGACGAAAAAAGAATTAAGAAATGAGGAAGAAAGAAGCTGAAGAAAGGAAGCGGAGGATGAAATAGCTTTTCAACAAACAGGACGGCACTTTAACGCCATTTCAGTTCGCCTTCAATTCTTCCTGCAGGCAACCCGAGCTCCCACGTGGTCGAATAGTGGTATCACCCTTTCAGTCATTATGTAGTCTAATAGTCATTCTAGTGGCGTGGCGTGCTTTGCGATATATCGATTGTTATGCCATTTAAACCTATGGAAAAGGATCGATAAACAGGGTGTTCGCAGCGAACACCTTAATAATCGATTTTTCACCATAGGTTTAAATGGCATAACAATCGATACATCGCAATTCACGCCACGCTACTGACTGTCATTCGGTCCATTCGGTGACTTCAGGGTCATTCCATATGAAACCTACCAAGCAAGGAAACCAGGGAGGGAAAACCACGACTCGGATTTTGTTGAACTTCTGCAAAATATTAGATCTGAAATCTAAAAACTCACGGAGTCAATAAAAGTATGCAGATTTAAGAAAAAAATACCAAAAAAATTCAACTGCTTTCATTCGCGGGCTACGCTTGAATGTCTCCGAAAATTGTGCCTCATTTTAGGGGCAAAACCTTACTACCTTCCAATTCTTGTAATTTTTAAGATGCAAAACATTTTTCGTTACGATTTTTTTTAAATGATCCTCAGAAGGTGTAGAGTACCCTTAATACAAAATTTTAATGAGATCTCATGTTTCAGTGCCTTTTTTTCACCACTTAGCCCCTAAAGGCCCGCGAGACGCTAAAAACACCAAGATTGTGCCATTATTTGATCATTTCTTGGGATAACTCTGAAATTCCTCAATTTGCTATATGATACTCCTCTAAGTACATACATAGAACATGCCTGGAAAGTAAAATTATTGAGGATATGGGTGTAAATACCTTTAATTTCAACCTTTTTTGCTGAAAAAGGTTCTTAGTGGTAAAAAAACCTAAATCCAGGAAATGCATGTAAAACTCAAAAAAACACCAACAGATTAGCTGTCGATAACCATTACTCGGGAGAGGGTGTCTCTTTTCAAATGATTAGAAGTAAAATATGCATGAAAAATAAAAACAGCAATTCATTTGAATTTTATCTGGATAACTGGATAGGAAGGCTACTTGAGAAAGAACACAAAATAATTAGCATGAACGAAACAAGAGTCGGGTATAATAGGGGTTGCTGTTCCCCACAGTCCCCAGCATCCAGGCTAGGACAATTTTTTTGAAGAATTTTGTTTGAAAAAAAATCTTCCGTCGCATCGGTAAGGCGCAACGCTACAACTATTCGTACTCTCCGGAATGCGGGAGGTATCAAGCCTCAATTGAAGGCGTTTTCAAAACCGCCAAGTTTCAATACTGAGATTGTCGATTCGCATGAAGTTCGGAGCCCGAAGTCACTGGAGCGACTTATCTTACGTGCTAATGCAACACTTCTGTGCACATCTCCTTGTTTTAATTTGATTCAGAAATGTCTCAAAGTAAATAAAACATAATGTAAGACACCCGAGTTTCGTCAACAATAATGTACGTACAATGCAGCTGATGACTAAGGTTTAGTTCAGCTCTGTGCCGACAGAGCCCGCATGGGCGCAAAGTTGATTCCCAATCCAAAACAACTTTCCTTATCAGAAACGCGAGTGATATTTACTCAATTATCTCAGATTTCTACCTCTAATTCTGTTGTTTAGATCAATTTTTAGTAAGTCCTTTTTGCCTGGTTACCGAAAAAAAGGCAAAAGCATTCTCAGAAAATGTGTTTTAAACATGTTGAATAGGAAAAAAAGAAGATCCAAGAAGAAAGCCTACAATTCTTCGCAATTTTATGATTCTCAGATTGACAGTACAGACTCTTCCTTCAAAATGTAAGTAGGGTATCTATGTTTAATATCTCATTAAATATTTCCTATCTTTAGTTCACAAGGATTTTATTGTATTTGCCCCACTGTTTTAACGAGAAGCCAAACATAATTTTATCATCATGTCCTCATAAGAAGACATGTTTAAATATGCGAAGTGCTGTAAGAACTTGCGGAGTTTTACAATCTTTACATGGACGAAGGTATCAAAGTGACTAATGCATGACTAAAAACAAAGATGGAACAAATAGAGCTTCTTACTAAATTTCAAATTGTGAACTATAGTCTGATCATAAGCCTTCTTCTGAATGTCTGCTTTCTGAAGAGTGCATGTTATTGAAATGAGGTTCCAAGCATCGTAGGTAAATTTTCATTCCCAATCAGCCCTTTATTGATTCCTTTCTGCGGGTAGCACTTCCCATCCAGATCTAAATTTACTTTAAGTAACCTCATTCATCCTACTTACTTAATGTAACAATTTGGCATCCAGTGTAATCTTATCTCCGATTCAACTTTGCATATCAACGTATCAAATAGTCAAAACCATCCCCTGGAATATGTGTTCACACCCTCTGTAGGTGGTGTTTTCAGATACTGCTTGACAACATAAAGTAAGGAGAATTGAAACGTTTTTGAAGGAATCTTACTTTAGCTCTAGACTTCAGCTGTCTGTCTGTGAATGAAGAAACAATAGGTAGTAATGAAATTTTTGGAGATACTCAACCATCAGTGGCACTCATTGAAGTAGAGGAGTGTTAAATTTTTGTCTCTTTTTTTCCCAATTGGGAATGAAAGGGGAACCTTCTGACATATTTCGGTTTTTGGTTCGAATTTCTAGCCTGAATCTCTGTCGGAACGTTTTAACTGAAGCGAACATTCTGCGCAAGGTGGCAGCAAAACAGCTCTCTTAAATTGTATCCTGACATGTAAATGCACATTAGACTATCAGCCTATTATAATGAGGCTGCCGCAAGACGTAGACTTTGGCTTACCACCTTTGCGTACCTCGCAGTTGAGTTGATCTTCGAAATTTTGTGATTCGGAAAATTTATATAAGTACCTTGTCTAAAATGTTCTTATGTTTCAATCCTCTAGGTCTGATCCAAATGACATGTGCCAAGCATTTGAAGGCCAACTTTACAAGTATACGAATGTAATGAAAGGTTACCAATACAGGTGGTTCATCTTGGATCCGAAAAAAGGAGTTCTAAACTACTATCTGGTCAGTATATCAACCCATACTTATTTTCCTCAATAGTTTTTTCTGAATCCCTTCTACATGGGTATTTAAAATTTAAAATTAAAGCATAATTCACACCATCAAACTTCTCATCTGACTTAATTAAAAGGAAAGTTGGATGGAAAGTTTAAGGCAAAAAAAATTGATTCAATTACCCGTTCAACTTTCCTTCCAATTGGCGCCGCCAATTGAAGTAAAGTTGAGTGTGACATCACATTCAAGTTTCCGTTCAATTTTTCATCAAATTGTCGTTATCTCCAGTCAGTATCATACTATCCAACTTTTCATTCGACAAGTTGCATTCAAGATTTGAATGAAAACTTTGATCATAAATAATTGGGCTTTATCTACAGACCTTTGGTTGATTATTCATTCAGTCATTGATTAATAAATCAAGTCCTTTGACAATCAGTTTTTCATCCATCAAAAAACATTAGTATGTACGTTATGTGGGAAACGGGAATATCACTGTTCTCTCTCTTTTTTTTTTATTTCATTTTATTTTGCACATTTTGTACATGAAAGCTGATTGGCTATGGTGCATGTAATGAACGGGTTTAAACAGTAAGAAAAACAGATTAATAATGTGAACAATCAACTAAAGCAGCTTAGAATGCCATACATTTATGAAACATGCTATAGATCAGTCAAGTTTTCAACAGGAGGCACTTAAGAGTTCATCTGATCGTAAGTCATGAAATTTATATCTAAAAAAGTTAATAAGTCTAAAGTTATCTAAGTCATCCAACTTTTTCAATTGGATTAAGAATATTCAGTATGCCCTCTCTTTTAGAATGAAAGTGAAACAAAACAACAGCCTCGAGGTTCCATAAATCTCCTTGCAGCTGTCATATCACCTAGTGATGAAGACTCGCACACTTTCACCGTGAACTCAATCAATGGAGAGTCTTTCAAGCTGAAAGCATCAGATGCCAGAGCTCGTCAAGAGTGGGTGAATAAGTTACGAGCTGCGGTTGAATTGCATGCAGTTGCAATCGCTCAGGTATTATCCTTTCTTCGTCTGTGCTTTTAGTCTCCTCGTACATGAATTCTTTATCTCCTTTTTTTCACAGTTACAATGACAGTGACAAAAAACTTTCTTCTATGAAAACTTTTAGAGGTATTGTTACTTCTCCTTGCACTAACATCCAAATCAATTCGGCACGACCATAATAATCTTCATTTAAGTATTATAATATCTGCTTTGTGAAATGAAGCAATTCAAGACTAGTTCGAAAATAACTTGTATCTTTTTCATACGGTCTTCTAAGCCACTCAGTGTTGTTTGTATTACCTGTTGGCAATGTTTTTCGCGGAACAGAAAAATGCCTTTTTTTTATTTACTGTCAGGTCTCCGAAACTTACATGTTTTACTTTCTTCTTTTATTTTAGAAAAATCCACCGCTGACCACCCGAGATCCTTTCATTGGCTATCGCAGTCAAAGTTCAGGTGTTCTATCCGGATCCTCCTCTAGTCCTTGTTCCGTCGCAATTGCTGATGCATTCAACAGTGTTCGCGAACACCTTAGTCAAGTTGAGTTCAGCAATGAGTCTCTCATCAAAGCAATAGAAGAGCTTCCAGCAAATGGTAAGTATCTCGCCTTCTAGGGATTGCTCTCTTGGCCGAAAACTCTTAACTAACAAGGGGAGCTTCCCAAGTGTAACCGGAATTTCGAGTTGAAATTTCGCATAAAGATACTAGAGATGATTTTAGGGATGCCGTATTTTTTCGTTTTTTCGAATGGGGTCGGGAAAGCCCTCAAAAAAAGGGCTAAAGATGCGGAAAAAACGCGTGCGCTAGCGGCACAAGTAAATGTAGGTGATAGAGGCTTCCAATCCTTATCAGTACCGCATGGCCAAACGGTAGCGCGCTCGCCTCGCAGGCGGGAGATTCTAGGATCGGATCCTGATATCAGCTCGTAATTTTATTTTACTTAATGCTTGTTTATCTTTCACTTACTTTATTTTGCACCATTCGCTCCGCAAACCGACTTACGAGGTAGAACACGTAGTGACTGAAGATTTTTTACATATGCTGATATAAACTCGAAGTTTCTCTTGGATTGAAACGTTATATGTAATTGAATTAACAAAACACTCTAAAACTCACCAAATTTCGTTGCCAAGCTGAATTTCCGGAGTATCAGTCAGATACAGATACAGATTCGACTGATACTCCGGAAATTCAGCTTGGCAACGAAATTTGGTGAGTTTTAGAGTGTTTTGTTAATTCAATTACATATAACGTTTCAATCCAAGAGAAACTTCGAGTTTATATCAGCATATGTAAAAAATCTTCAGTCACTATGTGTTCTACCTCGTAAGTCGGTTTGCGGAGCGAATGGTGCAAAATAAAGTAAGTGAAAGATAAACAAGCATTAAGTAAAATAAAATTACGAGCTGATATCAGGATCCGATCCTAGGATCTCCCGCCTGCGAGGCGAGCGCGCTACCGTTTGGCCATGCGGTACTGATAAGGATTGGAAGCCTCTATCACCTACATTTACTTGTGCCGCTAGCGCACGCGTTTTTTCCGCATCTTTAGCCCTTTTTTTGAGGGCTTTCCCGACCCCATTCGAAAAAACGAAAAAATACGGCATCCCTAAAATCATCTCTAGTATCTTTATGCGAAATTTCAACTCGAAATTCCGGTTACACTTGGGAAGCTCCCCTTGTAAGATGACCGTAACTCATTTTATCATAGTTTCTTAAAAATTCATCGCAGTAATGCTGTGTAGTGAAGAAGATTTACTACATGTGCCGGTGTCTTCTTGCACATCTTCGTCAGTTTCAAGAATTAATTAGATACTTTTTATGCTACTTTTCTTACAGTTTATTTGTGTTGAACAGAATTTGATTAAAATATTACCAAAAAGCAAGATCGCTCAAGAACCAAAAACAAACTTGATCATTTATGGAATAAAAAAATATACTGGGGATGAAACTGTCATCATTAATCAAATCATAAGATGTTTTGCTCGTGATACTGGCAGCTTCCATGAACAGTCCCTTTTACAGGAAGAAAAAAATACCTTTGGGGAGTGTTGTTGCATTTGTTCGATTGTTGAGAAAATCAAGCTCTATTTTTTCACGTTTTAGCAAATTGGCTTTCTTGAAAACTCTACTTCTAATAAGAAAAACTGAAAATACCTAATGTGAGTAAATGGACTGAGTGTAACAAAACGTCTCAAGTCGCATTTTGGATGAAATGAACCAGGGTTAGTTTTGAATTGAACTAGCTCTATACTTTCTCCTGTCAAATATTCAAAGTCGAAGAAAAATATTTTGAACATAAATACAGTCCTCAAAATCTCATGGAGGAATAAAACTTCTAACCTATTTTTCTCGATTCAAAGATGGTAACGTGTTATAACTTGATGTGTTTCTGTTAAGCTTATTTCAAATAAGTTCTAAAATATGGGAACAAACTCTTCGGCCCTACTTCTGTTACCTGTAAGACATTTGACATTTTTCGACAAAGTATCATTTTATGCACATTAAGCTCATTAAATTTTTGAAAGTAACTTTTTCATTTTTCTTTTTTTGCTTTACAGGATCATCTTTAAAACATGTTGACACAGATCTACTGTTGCTGAAAGCTGCTTCTCAAGCGATGTGTTCATCATTAAACGAATGCACGATGATCCTACAACAGTCAATTTACCCCTTCCCAAATAGTCAATATCCAACATTAAGTAGAAATACCATGTCCTCTATTTCTCAAAGGAAAAGGTAATACTGTAATGCTTAGGTTCTCTCATGATTCCTTTCACTTTCCCTCCTCCTTGTAATTTTAAATGAACAGACCGAAAATGTCATTTGTACATTTTTTTTAAAATTTTCTTTTTTTTGTTTTAATAAAGTTTTTCATTCGCTGCTTCTTTGAAAAAGTTTTTTATCTCAACATTTTGTCTCTCTCTCATGAAAAAATGTACTATCAAAAAAGGCATCTCTTGAAATTGAAATAAACACATCCCTCTATTTTTGATGCAGTAAACTTCCGGTGATTTTTTCAAGTTAATGCCAGAAATTCAACTACATAGGGTGTCCCAAAAGTACTGCCCCTTTTTTCCCAGAGGGCGAAAAAAAGCAGATATCAAAATGCGGGTTGTGTGAGGTTATAGTCCTAATAATTACCTATAAAACAAGACCAAGTTGAGCTCTGTAGCTTAAAATTTGACCGAGATACAGCATTTTGAAAATGACGTGTCAAGGTGGCGCCTACAGGATTTTCAACATTTTTTACGAAAGAAAAAACCAAGTTTAAGAATGAAACGGTTTTATTAAGAATGAGTTTACAGATTCTTACCGAGGTAGACAAAATTTACACTTCTTCATCAGATGACTCAGCTTTTCCTTCCTTCTCAAAGTATCTTCCTTCACTTTGTATGCAGCGCTGCATCCGTTCTTCCCATTTCACCAGAAAAGTTTTCTCAAAATCTTCTTTCGCCAGGGATTTGAAGAAGGTTTCAACGGCTTTTTGGATCTCGGCAATCGAATTGAAACGCTTGCCTCTTTTCCAGTGCAGGAAATAGCTAAAAATCGCAGGGTGCGAGCGTTTCAATTCGATTGCCGAGATCCAAAAAGCCATTGAAACCTTCTTCAAATCCCTGGCGAAAGAAGATTTTGAGAAAACTTTTCTGGTGAAATGGGAAGAACGGATGCGGCGCTGCATACATAGTGAAGGAAGATACTTTGAGAAGGAAGGAAAAGCTGAGTCATCTGATGAAGAAGTGTAAATTTTGTCTACCTCGGTAAGAATCTGTAAACTCATTCTTAATAAAACCGTTTCATTCTTAAACTTGGTTTTTTCTTTCGTAAAAAATGTTGAAAATCCTGTAGGCGCCACCTTGACACGTCATTTTCAAAATGCTGTATCTCGGTCAAATTTTAAGCTACAGAGCTCAACTTGGTCTTGTTTTATAGGTAATTATTAGGACTATAACCTCACACAACCCGCATTTTGATATCTGCTTTTTTTCGCCCTCTGGGAAAAAAGGGGCAGTACTTTTGGGACACCCTATGTACTTGTAATTTGTTAAATTTTGTAGATTTTAATGCAAAAATATTAGTTGGTTTCCGTCTGAAAAATTAAAATTAGAGCAGACATTTTGAAACATTATGATCTAGATTTAAGTTTTTTTAGTTCAATTTCACCATTGATATTCTGCAAAATTACCATCGGTCTCAACGTAAGATTTTGGTTGTGTCAATAAAATTTGACAATACTTGCAAGACCATTTTCATATAATTTGGAACCATCAAGCTCTGACCAACTGTGAAACCGTTCTAAAGAGCCCAAATAATCATTAAAATTTGAGGAAAACAATAACTTTCTGCACTGCTCTCTTTCAAACGTCTGTAAAACTAGGCTGTTTGATCTAACTTTTCTTATTTGTAAATTAAAATGCAAAATTCATGAAAATACCAGTTAACATGCTGGACTGTAGGGAAGTTCTATAAAACATATACAGCCTCTTGTAAGGCTCTCGAAGTAAAGATAGATGAGTGTGCGACTGAGAGACATAATTCTTTGTATAAGAAGAAGAAAGATTAATGGTTTTCAAGACGGTCAGGCAACCACCGCTAAATGCTTTTTTTATGGAACTCCCTGTAATGCTACCTTGTCAGTAGTCATTATCATGAGTATTGAAAAATTTATTTCTAAAAAGAATCACCAGGTAGAGGAAAGATAGAGATTGAAGAAATCGTTTTCAGGAGGCACATCATGTCATTAGGGTCAAAGCAGTGTCTGTTCCAATGTACAATATTTGAACCTTTTGAATTTTTGATTACGAAGTAATTGTAGGAGTTTCGGATAGAGATTTATGGAAATAGACATTTAATTGATGCCTCTAATAGACATAATGAATTCTCGGCATGGACCAATAAAATATTCATTCCATTGATCCAGCACTCCCACAACAGGCTTGCATGTCGCGCAGGCTGACTATTATTAAAACTTTAAAACTTCCCGGTCATGGAGAATGTTTCGCATCGACCAATCAGGGAACCTTCCACACACCGCCACTCGACCAATCATCGTCCGATGCTGATAACAATGTTGATAAGTTGATAACGCCCATCCGTTTTGTTTACGTAAGAAGATCATAATTTATTTTGAGGAGTACAATCATGCGTGAATAACGGATTACGGCATTATTTCATACCTTGTGATTATCGGCACGTCTTCGTGCAGCTGAATTTCTCTAGGATTCTATCGTGTCTTTTCTTCAGTTGAGTTATGTAAGTATTAGCGTGACTTCCAATATCCGTTTCATTACTTTGTGGGTTCTAGTGATGCAACAAGTGTGGTGATGCTGGCTAGGTACTGATTGGAACCGAGAATAGATAGAAAAAATACTTACGTGACAACAAGACAGCTTTTCTTCATCTAGTGAGTTCTTCAGCAGTGGAAATCAACAGAAGGGTAAGCTCTGAGTTTCAATTTTTCTCGAAAGAATCTCGATTTCTTGGGAGAATTATTCATGCACAAATGATCAGTTTTTGTCTGTCTGGAGGTAGTTTCATTCTTTGAGGAATCTTCATCTTTGAGTAGGTACTTCTTGCAACGACGCTCTGATCACAGGTTTTAACGAATGTCCGAAGAAGATGTCAGATGGTGCTTAATTAGCTGGACGAATGCCAGATTGCTAGTATGTTTGCATCCTTCAGTTAGATTGCGTTTATGACAAACAGAGCAGCTATAAAGATTGGTGGTTGCATCTGGTATCCTCTCAACGTCACACGGCATTGGATATTTTTTAGGTACATCCTGATTGCGTGGCAAAACATGTACCCTCTGCGTGTCACAGTCTTTAAAATGGCAGCTCAACTAGAAATGCGACCACCTTTCTTTATTCGCCTCATTTGACAAAAGCCCAAAATGAAGGAAAGGAGCCACAATTCGAACATCTAATCATCCTACAAGTTACTTCTACTATTGGCAACTTTTAATTGGCACAAAGAATTTAGATGCGATCGGTTGCTAAATCCTGTCTTACGCTGCTGAGGAAAGAGCCGAGGCAGGTGGTTGAAGCTTATTGTTTTGTGGCGAAAGAATTGCCAAAGTTTCAAATTTCTGAAGTAAAACAAAATTTTCTCCAGCAGTAATTGTTACATCAATATGATTAGTATGTTTCTTACAAGATGTTCCAAGTTCACTGAAGAATTTTACTTATCTTATGTACTTTTTTAAAAAATTAATAAACCCAAGATTTTCTAAAAATATCACAGGAGCATCTTATCATTATTTTGTTCTTTGCCTGTCACAAAAATGATTGTAGGTATCAATAGAATTTTTTCTCAAAAAAATTTTGAAAGGGCCCTTTTTGATTTCATAAGACTTCTCTTCATTCCACGCAAAATTATCACTTTCTTTTCTCATTTACTACCCATCTTTCTTTTTTTTTTCAGCTACCATTATGTCAAAGCTAACATCCACTTCCGTTCTCACCTCTGGAGCAATGAAAATGCCTGTCATTGGCTTAGGAACATGGCAAGTAAGTAAGAGATAACAGTAAGCTAGTAAAGAAGTTAGCATCTCAATTACTTAAGTATAACAACTACATCAGATGTTCATTAATTTTCTCTTATATTGTATTTGTTCTTAAAAAAAGGTACTCATCGTCCGATTAGAAATATTGTGAGAATATTCAGGGCAAATTCAGAGAGTGTTCAAGGCAATTTTTTGTTTAGTTCTGTTTAAAAAAAATCTAATTTGAGGGAAAATTAGGGAATGTGCAATGCAGTTTAGCTGATTATTTGGTTCAATCCATCCAATCGGTGAACACTTTAAAACCAAGGTAAAAAAAAGTTGTCTGTAGGTAGCATGAAGTTGCTGTTAGTTTGAGACGATTAAGTATGCTGTCTGTGTCTGACGGTTCTAATGTGTGGACCTCATAAGCCGAATGTTGCACTACAAGAACACCCTTTTGTCAGGACTGAGCCTTGTGATATAGACTCGAAGATGCACATCACTCAAATAATTTGAGACACATTATTGATCGATTTTTATGGAAAATTTTTACAGCCAGTCCCACTCAATTTTCAGCTGTGGTTTCAATGGATATATAGGTAAATGCTAGGAAAAATTATGCTTTAAAGAGACTATAAGGAGTTTATACTGTGCTATAAAACACAATACTAACTTGACTATTGTGCGCAGATTTTTTTTTTTTTTTTTTTTTTTTTTTTTTTGCTTGACAAACACCAATGCAGCATCACCACTCAACCCATTTGGATGAGTGCAGGGCGCAATACTAGGAGAGGTAACAAAGTGTATTTTATACAAGGTACAGCAAAGATATTTTTCCTTTATTGCAAACCATTCTCTCAGATTCTCAAGTTTGTCTGAAATTTATACGCAAGCGATGATGAATTGCTCATCATTCTAAAAACCTGATTTGGATAGAATTTTTTTAGTGAAATCAATTGGAATAGGAACTGTCTTTTTCTTTGCTAATTTTTTTCCCAAGAACTTTCATCTCAGCTTTTTCTTATATTTCTCAGGCCGGAGGAGATGAAATTGAAAAAGCAGTCGATCATGCATTATCCGTTGGTTATCGGCATCTTGATACTGCCTATGTGTATCAAAATGAAGAAAGCATCGGAAAAGTTCTCAAAAAGTGGCTCTCAAGCGGAAAAATTAAAAGAGAGGACTTGTTCATCACAACCAAGGTTTGTAATCCATCAAAAAATATTTAAGTAAATTGATTTGAAAAACATTTTGTGCTAGCAACCATTCTTTATTTCGCTCTTTTTGAGTTCACCAACATTACCCTTTTTTGCAGTCAAATTTTGTAAGCTTGATACCTTTGGAGAATGACGGTCTCTACTCATGGTGCTTATCATCTTATTTAAAACCAGCATAGTTCTATGTTTATTGAATAAAAACCAATCATTGATTACAACTTTTCAAATGAAACCTAAGATTCTCTTCTCTCCAAATTTATCATAAAGAGGCAACAGTTAATACTTACTCGAATTTTTGAGCATTTACAGTCGTATCTCTTAACAATGTTTTCGTACTAGAAAAACAGCATATCAAGAATTGCCTAACTAAGAAACAATCAACGAAAACTCGAAAAAAATAAACCTTAACTCCAGAAAAAGAGGTTATTCCAAAAAACATTGAAATGAGATGCAACTGTAGTGAAAAAATTCAATTTTGTTACGTACTAGCAATCGTTTAATTTTTGTTTATAGTATCAATTTTTGCCCATAAAAATCATTTTTAGCTGGTAAAACACAAAATTGAAATGTGTTTCCTTTAGGATAAAGATGTTTTTCTTTGAAAATTTTGTCATAAGGAGCTTTGAAAAATGTCAAGCCCAACTGAAGTTATGAAGGCACAAGGGGCTTTGAAAAATATTGAGCCTAACTGAAGTTATGATGGCACGAAGGAGCATAAAAGTTGGATGTCATAAGGTGTTTTCAAAACATATATTTCGATTTTTTTTGCGCAGCCTTTGTTAAAAATTACTCTTTTTAAAAGTGTTCCCACTCATATTTTCACTAGTAATTCACTGATTTGTTTTTTTCCTCCAGCTACCCAACACACATAACGCTGCTGAACTCGTTGAATCAGTCTTAAAGAAGCAGCTTGAATGGTTGAATCTTGATTATGTTGATTTGTACTTAATTCATCTCCCAATACGATTCAAGCAAGACGATACAAATCCTTTGCCCAAAGACGAGCAAGGGAACATCATAAGAGAACCGGTGGATCTAATTAGTTTATGGAAGGTAAGTGAAGCTTAATAGTTGTTCTTCAATGTTTGCTATTGTTCTCATTCGGTAACTAATCAAAATTTGAACTCATTACCTCCAAACTCCTCTAGACAATTGCCTCCTTGTTCAAACTTGATAACTCTGCTTCCATATCACTTTAAAATTAGACAGATTTACTGGAAATTAGCCCTTCCACATCAGAAGTTGCCTAATTTTTTTTGTTGTTTTATTTTAAGCAGAAAACCGGAACTTGAAATTTAGATGTTATTTTCTTCATAATGTAAGTTTAATTCATAGGAAGTCTAAAGGCGTTAAATAGTTTAGTTCTCTGTTAATACATGAGAGAAAATTAGGTAACATAAAATGCAGTTATGTTTATTCCGTCTAATTGGGACTTCCTCAAATCTAAATTTCAAGTTTAGTCATGATTTTGCTCTTTTGATGAAGAAATTCAAGTGTTAATATGAGTTCTCTCAAATTGCTATTGCGTTTTAAGCCAAGATTTTAATTTTAATTTGATATTTCCTGAATTATAGGATAGTATGTGCTACTAATAATAATTGCATGAAACTTTGTGCTTCATTTATTTTACTCGCACTTTTCAAGCTTCTTGTTTGCTTTTTTATTTTCTCGTTTTTTAGACTTGCTGCTCTTCGAGAAAGTTTTGTAACTAAAGTAGAAGTCTGCTTGTATTTATCTTCACTTTCATTCTTCTCTATCTCTGAAATTCTTACATTTTAACCCACCGCCAACGCTTCTACATTTTTTTTTAGTCTGCATAGACCCGAGTGGCAGAAAATTCTCCATATCGAATCCAGATCATGCATGGCAACCGTGGCAATCAGCTGTTGGCAGCCTAGAGGTTTTGAGTCATTGAGATCTAGAAAAAGCTTTAAGTTTCGAACTTTTCATAGGTAATGTTAAAAGATGCTGTGAAACTGCAGCAATTTCTTGCACGTATTCCACAGGCTGATATTTGTCCGAGCCAAGCATTTGAAGCAATTTGAACACAATAAGATTAATAGATATCTCTGTGAAATTTCTTTCTACACAGAGAGGCTTTCTTTCTTTTTCCTCTCTTTGTAGAAATTGTCTGTGAATTTCTGATTGTTTTCTTTCTCGTTTTCATCATCCTTTCAAATCACTGATTTTGCGGTATGATTTTCGTTTAATTTTAGACAGTTTTTTTTTTTTTTCCAGTAGACCAGTAGAAATTGTTCAGAAATTTTACACTGGTGCCTTTTTTTATCCTCATCTAGGTAAAATAATATATCGACGGTGTAAGTTGGCAATCACATAACTCGGTTTGCAACGCCGCAGACCTCCTGCCATACTCTATTTTTTAAACGGGAAACTACTCAACAGCAATTCTTTAAAACTGCCTTGATTTTTCTTCTCTGTGCGAAGAAAATTCTGCATAAACTTCAAGGAATGATGTCAATTTGTTCTCCTTTAAAAAAATAACATAGAGGCGGAAATTTTCAGACACTGCAAACGAGTTATGTGATTGCTGACTTACACCATCGATACGTAGTTTTCTCTTTTTTTTTTTTTTTTCACCCACTATCAGGTACATATGGTAAATGATGAACTAAGCCTGATTTAATCACTATCAGTAGAATTTTTTGTTGATAAAATCTGATAATTTCTAACCCCCAGGCAATGGAGGCACAAGTCGATGCTGGTCGGGCAAAAAATATTGGCTTGTCAAATTTCAACTCAAAACAAATTGCAAACATAGTGGAAAAGGCAAGGATTAAACCAGCCAATTTGCAAGTAGAACTTCATGTTTATTTACAACAAAAAGAACTGGCCAAGTTTTGCTCAAAGCACGGCATAACTATTTGCGGGTATGCCCCTCTTGGATCACCCGGAAGTAAAACTTTCTTCAAAGCTGTGTCAAACGGTGAAACAGAGTATGTAGCTTTTCAGTATTTTTTTTTATTTTTCATTACACTTGCATATACCATGATTCATTCCAAGTAAGGGCACCATCTTATCTGAGGGGAAGTGGTCAGGTTTAGTGATTGCCTTCCGGTGAACTTGAAAACACTTTCAATGAGTTTTGTGAAAGAAAAAATTGTTTTTAAAAGAGTTTTCTTGTTTTAAGGCAAAATGGCATCCTTATTCCCCATTTATGATCAGGTAAGAACAGAGTTCTAAAGGATCAAGTTTTACTATCCAAAGTAACAATATCATGACCTCTTATCAAGAAATTTAACAATTGAAAACCAAGCAATGTGAAGCAAATAAACCAATATCTGTGTCAAATTCCTCCTCAAAGCTTTTCTTAGTTAAAGTTTCCCTTCCAATCTATCATGTCACCTGAAATTTGAAAAAAAATCGGCATTTTTGGGCATATGCCACTTATTCGCCAGATCGTTTCTATCTCTTTTTTTCCTTTTTTTTTTAAATTTAAGATAATTTAAAAAAATCTGCTTCATTTACAGGTTGCAGAATTTAAATCCATTGGAAGACCCTGTTGTCCAGAAAATTTCTGCAACTCACAAAAAGACTCCTTCTCAAGTTTTATTACGGTTTTTACTGCAAGAAGGTTTTGCCGTAATCCCAAAGAGTTCCAATCCCCAACGGATAGAACAGAACTTACAGGTAACCAAAGATCTTTTAAAATTCACCAATTCTGAGTGCCTCAAAAATCCTGCTCATCATTTCCGTTGTCAAAAATAGAGGGTGTGTTTTCAGCAGAAAAAAAAGTTATGCCTGGATAGAAATAATTTTGCTCAATAGATATGAATATAACCAGTTTTGCCTTCGCAATTCTGACAAAATTTATTTTCTCCCAGAACAAATGGACCAATACTATTTCACTTTTTTAGCCAATTTAAGATTTTTTAGTAAAGCGCTGCTTTACATTTGAAAATCTGGGTTAAGGAGCGTTTGGTGTGGGCAAATAATTACGCCTGTCTTTGCCCACACTGAAATCTCCTCGACAAAGATTCTCAAAAAGAAAGCAGCTTTTCACCAAAAAATCTAAAAATAGCTAAAAAAGTGAAATAATATTGGTCAAGCAATATAATGTCATAAAGTCAATTTACTCTCTGGTTAATAAACAAAATAGACTATCAGTATGGCAATTTTAAAACCAGTTGATCCAGAGAGTGTAGTTTTATTTCATCAGTTTTTTTTTTCTCCACAGGTATTTGACTTCGAACTTTCAGACCAAGAAGTAGACACCCTTCGCGCCCTGGATAAAGGATCCTCTGGGCGAATTTTTGATTTCCTATTTTTCCCTGGGGTTGAAAAAGACGAAAACTATCCCTTCACTATTCCATTTTAATTTGTTTTACCTTTAATTTTCTGAGTGTTTTAAAAGATTTGTGAAAAAATACAACTGGTAACTGAAGTCACATTGATTGTGCAATACTCACTGTTGTGATATTTTAAGAAACCCTATTTTATACCTTTCTCATCACAAAAATTGCTTCTACTTAAAATTTGTCCGAAAATTGCTTCTACTTAAACTATTTCCAAAAATATGCTGCAATAATCTTCTTCATCTGTTCCAAAGAAACATCAATGAGCTCAATAATTTCATCATATAAAACAAAGTTCTCTTCTTAAAAAAGCTATTAATGAAGCAGTGAATTATTTCTAAAAATTTCATGTGAAAACTCCTAATAAGTTTGGTGCAAATAAGAGGAGGGTAAAAAGGAGTCGTTACGATTCACAGTTTTTGTATAACATACATGGATGAAATTTGAGGCTCCTTCCATCAAATGGACCTCAGAAATGATCTAGGGAGCCTCTTTTAGTATACATTTGTTTCTAGTATTTTATTAATAAATAGTTTCAAAGATTGTTGTTTTATCATTAAAAATGATGTTTTTATTGATCCTTTCATGTAATAAAATGTCTCAATAATGCCAAAAGTATTTTTTTTATTACCAACATTAGATAGCAAATTGATACTAACTATCTCAAATGAAGAGTGGCCGTAGTGCTTCTTCGTTCATTATATTTTCATCACATTGAGCTCTATATTAACCAACAATCATTTGATAGGCTCAAACCGACCTCATCCAGGAACGAAAAAAAGAGAAAGAAAAGATTTCTTTTAATTAAAAGATTCTGTTTTTTATTTGTACCTAAGTTCAGGAATTTAGGTAGTTATTATAAATCTTTCAATAAAATCAGATAAAGACAAAAAATACACACTTTTGTTCATAGGAGCAATTTTGTTTCCTATATAAATTTCATAAAGTCACTCCACATTAAGTTACTCTCCACAATGATTCGAAAAAATTTAAGCGAGAAAATATAACAACTGATTTGGTTGCATTATCAACCATGTTTCAATACAAAAATTATTCCACACGTACAAAAAACAATGATAAAAAAGATGATACAAAGACAATAACTTTTATTTACTTAGTTTGATTAGTTTACTATCAAAAATACTTAATTTTTGTTTCGAGTGAGAAATGAACTTCTGTACAGCTGAGTAAGTAATTAAAGGGGCGTGTCGCAAATCAAGTCTTGAGAGATTCACGCACCTTACCAAATGATCTAGAGATTGATCTGTGATTAACTTACAACCAGCTAAATTTAATGTTTGGAGACTTTTAAGAGTAAGCGATTGCTGAGATGAAAGTTGTGAAATACCAGCATCAGTCAATCGGTTACATTGAGAGAGATCAAGAACACTAAGATTACAAATATTTTGCACAATGTAAAGTATTGCAACGTCAGTAACATTGCAACCGGCTAATTTTAATACTTTTAGGTTCCTAAGTCTAGATTTGGTATCAATTAATCCTGGTCTTGAATCAGAGGGAGATGAAAGGATTTCTCTTAAGGCAGCATCATTCATACCAGTAACAAAACTTAAGTCTAGAGACTGTAAAGGTGGGCACTGACACGTCCTGAGAGCTGTTACGCTTACAACGGGGCAACCTTGCAACGACAAGTGCCTCATTTGTGGGAGCCGCGTAATAAGCCATGTCAATTGTCTCTTGACCACATTCGTCCAATCTAAGTTCAAAGTTTCAGGTTGTCGCCGCACGATACCTGTCAAACAGGAACTAGTGAGTTTTTTACTTTGCAAGTTCATTGTTTTCCACAAAACAGGATCCACACTAATCTGGGACCAAGTCCGACAAACTTGAGCACAGATGGATAAATCTGTCGGGGACAAATACTTGAAAATTGCGAGTAAGCATGTCCTATTCATATTTGCATTGCCACTATTCACGCCCGGCTCTTGTTTTATGGTAGGGGTTGACGGTGCTGGTGATGGTCGCACAACATACAATGGCCGTCGTAAAGGCTTATTGCTGTTTGCGTTTAGCTGATAAGCTAACTGGGTTCGTAAAGCTAATTTCCTCGGTTCACACGTAGTTGATGATGATGAGGATGAGGCAGTTATGTTAGCTCCACTATTGTTGGATGTTGTTTCATCTGAATTCCGACTTCGAACTGAATCGCCATTTAACCATTTCTGCAAAAAGCAAAAATACACATGAGTGAGGTATTTCAAAGGAAGAAACAACCAAAGCAGTAAAAAAATACAAAACAGAGAGAATTAGATTAGATGTTTTGCGATTTAATTGCTGATAATCTATCAAACATGTGACTTTCTGAAGTTCAATTTTGGTAAAATGCAGAAAAAATAAAAAAGGTTTGTTTGTTTAGCTGCTTTGATTGAGCACAAAAATGGTACCTACACCGAAAATATTAAAATATCATGCGCTGTAACATTATTTTGACTGTTGTCTTATTACAGCTCTAATTCTAAGATGATGAGTAGGTTAGGGTGTTTACTTTCATTTGCTGAATGAATTCAGGATTTCCAGCGATCTGGAAAACCTGGAAAAGTCAGGGATATCAAAGGAAAAGTCAGGGATATCAAAGAAAAAGTCATGGAATTTTGCAAGTGGCTCATTGGTTCAGTAACTTCAACTAGTGCCGTTCAAGAGAGCATGAGCAACTTCAGAGTGCCTTTTTCATGATTCAAATCAGTAGAAGTAGTGAAAATCTTGTGAAAAGTTAAGTCAAAGTTGGTATAGTTAAAAAGAAAAAAAATCTAAATCCAGTTTCCTTAAGGTTCAGGGAATTCAGAAATTTTGGAGCCAGGGAAAAACAAAAAAAAGTTAGGGAAATACAGGGAATTGGAAAAGGAGGAAATTATGGAAATACTGGAGTCATACTATGTTTAGGTATGCTTACCATTCCACTTGAGTTCTGAAGGTCCTCGGGAGATTCAGATTTAATCCTCTTGGCTGCAGGATGATCTTGGTAAGTACGGTCACTATCTGATGAATCAGAATCTTCACCACCGGAATGATCCTGAAATTAAACCATGGCGGACATTATAAGAAATTCTGATCTCCTGATAAACTTGAAAAAATTTATCCTCCCAGCATAGTTAACCAAAGCTGCATGGTTAAATATCCGAAGTGAGAGGAAAATATTTGTTGCTACAATTCCTTGAATATTTTTTAGATAGGTTTAGTGCGTTCATTCGGGGGTTAATTTTGAATAGTCAGATATGTAAATAGATTGGGGTACCACTTTAATTTTTATACACCTTTTGATAATACCTGCAATCTTATTGCCTGGCTGTGTTCTGAAATTGATGAGAATTTTATACATTTCATGAATTCATTTTAATGCTTTTGGTTAAAATTCGTAGGATCCCTAAAACCTTGAATAATTTTTCTTCCTGTTTGGATAATTATGGTTATCATGGGTGGCGGTAGCCACCTCCGGACAAAGTCTAAACTCGACAACACTGGAAAGCCTCCAAACGAAAAAAGGTGGCATTTACTATCACATATAGGTACATACTTAATTTCAATAAACATTAACCATTTGAGTTTCTGTTCCTTTGTACTAAAACAGAGTGCGGATATGGTGTTCAATTCTAACTCAAAATACTCATTTAGAATTACACATAGCTAATTTATACATAAAATGCCAGAGCTGCAATCTCAATTTGAGAGTTAAAGAGACATAGTTGCTTGGTTATCATGATTTATTTGGCTATCTTTAAGTACTATCAGCCACCTAATTTTCATCATAACGATAAATTTGTTGGTTTAAATACGTGACCGAAATAATTTACTGTTGGACTGTTCATTCTAAAAGAAAAGTTTAGCTATCAAGGGGAAAAAAATTACTGAATTAACATCCCAGGATGTTAAAAATCTGTGCGACAACTCTAGAATGATAATATGTATGAACTTCAGTTGTTAATTCAACATTGCAGGGATGTTACATTGATAGTCGCCATTCATATCAATTTTCCTGAGCTCTCTTGCAGATTTTCAACATCCTCGAATGTCTATTCAGCAAATTTTTTCTGAAAAAGCTTTCAAGCGAGAATTGAGAATTTTTTTCATGCGCATTGAATTCATTTTAATTGATGTTTCCTTTGTTTTACTTTGACTTTGAGGTAACAGAGACATCATTAAAAGTGAAACCTTCCTTCCCTTCAAAAGGTTTATGCACAATTATTGTGAGTATATGTGGAGAAGAGAAAAAAATAACTTTTTGAACAGAACATTACCTCCATTCTCTCTCTTTTCATTATAGGGCTGCCGTCGCTATGCATTTTCCGCATATCAGTTGACTTTTGTCGCGCTCGAAAATGTCTCGGCTGAAATGAAAGACAAAAATGAATGATGAGTCAGGGGGTAGATTTATAGGTATGGATAGATAACATTACTGATGGATTAATAAGTAAAGGTGGGGATTTAAAGGTATTTTGATTACAATAGAGCTCTGGCATCCATCATTTTAAAGTACTTTCAGATAGATAACACCAAAAAAAATTTACACACATTTTCCTTTTACATTTTTGAGACATAAAGCATCCCAAGAATTCCGCTTTTAAAGTTTGAAGTGACGTCTAGAAACAACATATTCCTGTTGGTACATGTAATATAAATGTTTATGGACCGTTCCAGGGGTCGCTTTTTAATACCTAACCTTTTGGCCATGAGCAATGTGTGTACTTCATGAAATATACATTATCAGAGAATGCAGTTTTGAGCATGCAAAAAGTGTATTTTTCATTGAGAATTTCGACAATCTTAATGTGCTGCCCCCTGTAATCATGCATTTTAACTTTGGAGAGCTGACTGCGATCTTGTAAAGTTATCTACATCTTTGTACGGCGCATAGTGATTCTTGGCAGAAACAGTACATTAGGAAAAAATTGCAGACGTCAAATTCTTGCTGAGCTGTCAGAGCTACAGGATTCATCATCTTGAATCTTAATGTGTTAATGTGTGGCATAAGAGTTGTTAAATAATAAAATTAGCAGCTCTCACCAACAAAAGTAAGCATATTAAAAGACTTCTGATTTCCAGAAAGTGTAGATGCTTGAAAAATTAAATAAAAATAATGTATTTAAAAAAATAATAATAAAACAGGAATAATGAATACCTTGTATTCAACATTCTTCCCATCCTTACAACATTTTGGGCACTCCCAACTATTTGGTAAATCTTCATTGACAATACCTTCAGAATCAGCACACTGTAATAAAATTGATGAAAAGAAAATAGATCAGATAAACAAAATGATGCGCATTTCGCTAAAAACAACTATAGCTGCTATTGAAAATTAGCTTTCTCAATATTATTACAGTTTCTTAATTTTGGAAAAAAAGCTTGAATAATCCGTACAGTGACAAATTAGAATTTTTTTTTTTCTGTTCTATGTTAAGGTTAAGTATGAAAAGAGTCACAGTTAAGAGAGAGAAAGGGAATTTTTTTATTTTCTTCTTCTTTAAAGGCAGCAAAAAGAATTAAAAATCCGATTGTAAAAGCTTTCTTCTTTGATGAATCATGAGAAGGCAAAGCAAAAAGTAGAATATTACGAAAGCACAGAGGACTTGATGAGCAATATTTAAGAATGTAGGAAAACTCTTCTTTCCCCCTTCTATATTATTTAAAACGATAAATTCAAAGCAGAGCATTAAATTGAGTGGAGGATGAAAAGTTCATAAAATTATTTCTCTCAGAAGCAATAAAAATTTCAGATATGAGAGTGAATTCAAGGCAAAAGCAACTTCACTTACAACTTTAGCCGCACAGTCTGGGTGGATGATTTCGTAACATACACTGCACTCCATTAAGGAACTTGGCGTTTCTTTGTTTGTTTTTTGAATAGGTATGACTAACTGTTGACCCCAGCCGTCCAAACTACAGGAAACACACGCAGCTGTGATAGGCAACATTGGCTGAAAGAATAACACTGGCTCAATTGGAATATGGTTTTAATGAAAAGGTGACATCATTTTCTGAATAGAGCGATATGAACTGGGTTGTGTTGATAATTTTGTTCTAGCAGAACAGTAAATCGAGACTTTACACATGGCATTCAGCTAGAGGTTCCTATCTTTTCTGCAGACAAGGGAAATTATGCAGGACGAAAAAATAAAGTTTGGATTCTGTCAGTGCATTTCGCATTTTAATCACATACTTAAGTAGTGAGCGTCCCTGGAGAAAGTGGGAATATTTTAAAAAGTATTTTTGCTACTGTTGAATCTTTCAAACTTCTTCTTTTTCTTCTACTTCTTCTTCCCCTTCCTTTCAACTAGCGCATAAGCCCTGCATGTCTAGTGATTACCACATTACACACAATAAAAGAATGAAATATTATGATTGATAAAAATGTCAAGAATTTATGTCCTAGCAGACAGTTGTCAAAATTCAAAACAAAAAATAATGTATTTTCTTCAGTAAATACACTTGAACATATTCTCATAAATCTTCTGGGGATGACAGTCAGTTCCAAGCCTATCTCTTTGTCTCTCAAACTTCTTTGGGAAATTAAAGGAAGATTTTGACGAAATTATACAAATCTAAATTCTTGAGAAATATTAAACAGGGGACTAATCTGTGTGAGTAACTCACTTGTAAACACTGTCTCATGACACATGTTTGTTTTGCACGTCCTGGCCCGCCGAATTTGACCATATCTTGACAAAATATACATTCACCGCAGTCTGCCTGTTTGCAAGCCTGACACTTTTTACACCTTGTTCTCCGTCTTCTTGGTCCATTGCCACTGCCCCGAGGTATTTTGGATTTCCCATTCGGATGCCCGTGACCCCGATCAGGCCCCGGGGAAAATTGATAAGTTTTGCTTAATGGTGCTCGACGAATGGAATCCTGCGGGATAGAGACATTTATTAATTTGCGCGCTTTACACGTTGAGAACCAAGTACTTAACTTCATCTAACCCAAAATAAACAATTCCTTGATACCACCACAACTGAAAACTATAATGCACTTAGTTGAGGTACTACCACATTCTTTAGTTCTCCTGAATGTAATAATTTGAAATTGTTGCTGTTGAAAAATTTCTACTTGCGTTAATTTTGAATGTAATTGATACCGATAAAAATTTGCTCTAAAATAGTATTAGAGAACAACAAATATAAGTTAGATTCGGATAAGTCAACAAGAGGATTCATTTCAATGGCATCTGGGTCTTGAAGAGCACCCAACTGCGCTGCTCCCGTTGCATGGTCATGTAGTACGATTTTGGAATGCCAAAGAGCTAAGCGACTTACTTTCTCAAACTGGGATTTGAGAACAGGCTTTCCAGTAACGGCTGATTCTGAACTATCATGCCTGTGCTGCTCTACTAGAGTTCTTACGTCCTTAATTAGAGCAACTGGATCCTTTATTAATTCAGGGACATTCTTCTTGTTGGCAGGTAAACAATGGAGGTACGTAACAATTGACTTTAGTCCGTGCAGCTCCTGAAAAGAATAAAAAACAGAAGGGTTATTATCAACTATCTTAGTGACAAAGAAATACTATTAGGATGAATTTTTTTATAAATACAGATTTTATTTTATTCATGTGTATTTGAAACTAGATTCTAAGATTAGTTTTGCAAATCAGGCATGTGATTATTTTCGATCTTCCGGCTATACAAATAGTCGGACCACCCTGCCCTATAAGACAAATCCATCACAAAGTGGGACCTATTTAGAGATTGTTTGAGATAATTGTGGATTTTCTCGCACATGAAAGACATAAAGATGATGTACCCTCGATGTTCTTTTATGAAGTACATCAAACGTCTAAAAGTAAATAAGTGGAAAGTTGACTTTTTATGATTGCTAATTATTTTGACATGGCTCATACAAATTTGAGTTGAGTGAGGATAAGAAAAAATAATAGCAGTCTCTAGCCTCCTTCGAAAATTTTCACAAACTATTGAGAGTCTCGGAATTACACCTCATGTTCACAGATCTAAAAAAAAATCATGATGGCTGTATTTTCTACCAAGAACCTCTACACCTCCTGTTCACAGGTCTAAAAAAAATCATGATAACTGAATATTCTACCGCGAACCTCTTTTCATCTTAGAGCCATTGAGTGGGTGCAAATTTTACTTTAAAAAGTTATTTATTAATGAGAAAAGTAAATTTTTAAAAAAAAAATTGTTAGGATACGAACTGGTGGAATTGGTAGAGATTCCCTACCTTTTACTACTGAATCTGTAAAAATGAAAGCTTTAACCCATTATGAGTTGGCTTGGAAATTCAATTGTTAAACTGAATCCTAACAAATTTTGACTACAAATATAAAACATGATTACTTGATGCGTTAAATGAGTGTGTTCTGATGACCGCGGAGAGGGCTGTACGGCTGAGTCCTTTTCAGCCAGATGTGAAACCCCCAACAAACAGCTAACATACCGCTCCAGCACATACCATAGCATTTCTGTGAAGAAAGGGTAACGAAATTTCTGAGGAACCTGAAAACATTTAAAAATAAGAATTACTTTGATTTGTTCTACATCATTGCGAACTTGAGTCTCCCCGAAAACAGTCTTTTGCGGTTACCTAAAGATTAAATATTGACCACACATGGATCGTGGCAGAAGCAAACATTTTTTCAGTCACTTACTTAAATGCGTTGTTCATTACTACAAAACTTTTTTAAAATACTAAAAGGATGATAGCTCCACAAAAGAGAGTATGAGTTGATGATGATATAAAGAATGCTCATTAAACTATGATCAGCGGATAATGTACCAATTTGCAAATTATTCCAGGGAGAATAAAGTAGACTGCAAAAAAGAAACAATAAGAATGGATGATCACCACATACATTCAGCTGTAAAGGTGAAATTATCAGAAAATGGAGGGGAAAACCACCATTTGCTTTGAGTCTCTTATAATTTGATCCACCCCAGTAACTTAAAATTCTTGGAAAATTAAGAAAAATAAAAGAGGCCTTTTTGTAGGAGTTTTGAACAAAGTAAACCAACCTACCTACAGAGTGATTAGAGAAAGTTTAACTCACTAACATTAAAATACAATAGTCATAGTTTTACAATTGCCATTCTTAAATAATTTTTGCTCAGTAGAAAGAGCCCTCTATCATCGCATACTTATCTGAACCTAACATTACATCTACGCCCAAGAGGGGACCCTACCTCTGCCTCTGAGCGATAATTGCATCATACTAGCAAGTTTCTTGTGCCTCTCAACTTGCTGCGGATATAAGGCAAACCAAGGCAGTTTACATATTAAAGGAAAATGATCGATTTATAAATTGGTAAGACTTACTCGAGTTGAATCTTCAACTTGGGCAATTCGCAACTGTTTTTCAATTGCATAAGAATGCAGGAAATTTCCTCCAAACACTAGTGAATCTTTGGGCGTGTAAACTGCGTGAATCCAACCAGTAGGAATGAAAAAGGTGCATCCTTCTATCAGAGTAACTCTACCACACTTTTCAACGGTGTCACCAAAGAAGATATCTCCTTGTTTACCTGACAAAACCCACTGTTCGTAAAGTTGGATATTGTGCTCTGTTGGAGGTATCAACCAAAAAACCTATTGGACAAAAAACAAGTTTTGAAACGAATGATCTGTAGAGAAAAGTTGTAGAAAAATTGAAGTGATCTGGAGAGTAGCCAAGTAATAAAAAAAAAAAAAAGAGAGAGAGAGTTTCATTTGTAACACCAGAAGAAGTTTGATAAAGATGGGATGTCAAAAGAAAGCTTTTTAACTATATCCTTTCAAACAATGTTAAATTTACATGTGGCTACCGCCACTCATGAAACCAAACCAAACATTAATTGAATCGCATTGTGCGAAGACCACAGAAATTATTTCTTCTATCTTTAGTTTTTTGGGTTGATGATACTTATGCAACCCTGAAAGTGGTGTTAAGACTAGTTTCAGAGTTATCTCATTTCCAAAACGAGTTCTAGCACAACGCAATTCAATTTAAAGTCTAGACCTGAGTGTCAGGAAAAGTTATAATAATACTCATTCAGAACATAGCAGTGCAGAATATTCATTTCTTTAAAATTGAGTGATCCTGAAAAATTATCTTGAGTTTCTTATTTTGAAGATTTTTCAAAAAAAAAAAAAAAAAAAAAAAAAAAAAAAAAAAAAAAAAAAAAAAAAAAAAAAAAAAAAGACTGAAACTCAATCAAAAATCCTGCAATATGACAAACAATTTGGGAAAATGTCTACATGTAACTAAAGCAACTAAAGCTTGATATTTTTGATAAATGAGGCTTTCAAAATATTCCTTGCTTTTCAAGATATGGCTTGTGATTCTGCATTTGCCATACTCTCACTAAGTTGGTCACAATTACTTACATGAAAGACCACTAAAAAAGTGTTAACTAATTTTAATTCAAGGAACTTGAGATTTTGACACATCAGTGATATTCCCATGGTGGATGATCAGTGGTGTCCAATGAAATCTTGGGTCCCTTTGAAAGAGAAATACAATTTCACCACACGCCACTGTGGAAGATGAAATACAGGATTTTAAAATGTGTGCAAAAGGATTCATGATTGGATAATTTGGCCATGGAGTGAATCAATCAGCTTTATTACCTTCCTCCCTCGAAGAATGTGGTACCAAACACTCGTTCCTCCGAAGTCAATGTGGAAATCAGTATAGCAACCTTTGACGGACATTAAACAATACTTCTGTACTTTGGGGTACATCATGTCTTCGAGCACATTTGTAGATTCAGTTTGTGCTTCCTTTAAGTGTCGAGGCCAAACACAATCGACCCAATCTATTTGCCTCACCTGCAATATCAAATTAAAAAAAGATTAGCAAATGATAAATGTTACTTAGTTAAAGAAAAATTCGTTTTATAAAAAATTTGGACGATTCATTGTTGGTGGTGGACGGATGATTTTTGCTGCGAGATGAGGCAAGATTGGATTCAGAGCAGTGGACAGTATCATTATGAAAGGGAACTGAAACGAGTTCTACAAAGGATAAATCGGCGTTTCCCAGAGGAGGAAACACAATTCCAGTTCCAGGGTTGCAAAATTACTAACTTATTTTTCCCAATAATATGATAATGCGACAAGTTTGCTGCTTTTTGCATGTAATTAGAGGGCATATTAGCAAAATTTTCAATTGGAAATGCCTCACAGTTTCCTTGTAAAATTACAATTTTTGAGTGAAAATTTTGCAATAATCAAATGTAATCCTGCGCTTTAGTCCGGGAAAAGACAAAATATTTCTTAAAATATGTAGAGCATTTGGATACATTTATTTCCTTCTTACTTAAGATTAAACTTGCAAACATTTAACCCGAGAGTCTCTATTTTAAATCCAAACTGAATCATTTAATTTACGTACTGAATCAACAAAAATTGATTTAAAAAATGTAATAAAAATATATGTATGTAATAATGTATTAAAAAATATGTCCCTATGAAAATTCAGAGAAAACTGAGAAAAGTTCAGGGAAATAATGATAAGAATCCAATGAAATAAGACGATACTTACAATAGCTGGGCTTTTAACATAATTTTCTAGTTTTGTATGACTAAATTCTAACGAGATCACATTTAATAATTTATCTTTAACCGGGTCGTCATAATAACGTTGCCACTCCTTCATGGTCATTTCACAATTTTTCTGGGTGTTTACATCCATGACATCTAGTGTTCTCCTTGATCCTAAAAAATTAAAATGGGTGAAAATTAAAACTTGCCTATGATACAACTACATAACTAGGTGATTTCCGACTAGGAGAGGGAGATGCTCAATCTGATCAAAAGGCTTATTTTCATTGAAAGCCAGCAAGCATGTTCTGAAAATGAAATTAAGTTTTTGATACCAGCATATCGATGATGAAACTACAGTCTCGATTTTTGATGGTTATGAGTTAGATGCATAAATAAGCAATACGAGCTGGAAAATGTATTTTGTCTACCATCAAAATATTTTACTCATGACAAAAATCTGGAAGTTACCCAAAAACGTAATTCAATTAAGACATATCTCAGCACTAATTCCCGAAGCAGGTACCTTGAGCAGGCTCCTGTGTGGTTCTATTGACTAGACAAGTGCATCTTGCAGTGTTTATAGAGTGATTTAGCACAGTGTCGAGTCGTTTGTAGTTACCTCTACCTTTTTTATGAAATTAAATTCAATAAACTGTGTGCCTCTTAAAAAGGATTCTCCCCCTTTAACTCCATTAGGAACTTTAAAATGGAACTTTCAGTAGAACTTACCGACACAAGTACGAACATCTTTGACAGTGAATGTAGAACTTGGAACTTGCAGATGCAAACCAGCCTTCTCTTTAAATAAAAGAGGAGTGTTGAACCCATGTCTTTGCAAATAAGCTAAATTGAAGTCTGAAAGCACAAATTTATGGAATGAAGATTAAGGTACAGGAAATGTGAATAAAGTGATCTTGTAAAGTGAAACGAGATGGGTATTATATCCGTAGAGAGAATTGTAAATTATGACAACAACTGTACATTATAAGAAGCAGTTAATTTAGCGAGCCACGGAGAAATGTTTTGACCCCTTAAGCAAGTAAAAAATATAAAAGAATTGATGAATATGCAATATGACATTGGCTAGCTTCAGCAATCTTAAGATTAAGTTCCTAAAGAGTTGAAAAGCAGATTAAAATGTTAATTTACTTGACTCCCTGCGAATAGCATTGATTTAGCTGAGAGGAAAGTACTCGGGTCCCAAGAAGTGCGCCAATGTGTTGCTATTTGAAATAAAAAATGATAATTTCATGCCTTCAAAATTTGCAGCAATCCAATTTTTGCAAACAGCTCATAGAAATTCATAGGACAGGCTGAACATAATTCACCGATCTAAAATCAATGGTGGATAGTTTGTCACAGATCTCACTCTTCAATATGAAATCATACAAGTAGAGCGTTTAAGGCATAACATCTGAGGCACGAAGCGGTTCAGAGGATTGGGCCGCAAGGCAGCCAGGGGGCTTCCTAGTCTAGAATGAAAAGCACATCAAGAGCTAGATACATTTGATCACGCCACTGTGCACATATTCACATCACTGTCCTGACTGAGGGCCCTCATTTAATAATTGAAAGCATGTAAGTACAAACTATATAAAATCTGAATTCCAAATCACCTGCGCCTTGCATTTCTTTGACGAAATTTTGTGAGTATCGATCTGTTTCTAACTTCTCTTGAATACTAAAAGATCTTCTTCCTTCAATGTCATCGTCGCCTAAGGCCCAATCGTCTGTGTACAATTTCTTCTCCTTTCTGTCCCTCTGTAAATGAAAGAAGAAGAGAAATGTAACATGAAGTTTGATCAACACATAAGTAATAAATTTACACGAATATAAGTTGACATAAAAATAAGATATATAAGTGGATATAAAACACTCATAATATCTGAAAAATTCATTTTGAAAATGAAACAGTCAATGAAAAGTCAATTAGTAGAGGGTTTGCATTCAAAACCTCTACATTTTGTTCAAAGACGTCGAGTAAGCCTCTTTCTTGCTGGTAGCTGACCAGGAACATGCTTCATGGGGTTGAAAATAAGGATGTGTGGTAGGGACGCAAAAAACTTTAAACTTGTTTGAAAAAATAGCACGAAGTTTGATTAAGAAAAACAACAGATACCGATCAGTAACGATGATTTAAATGGCCAAGTACTTCTAAAACGCATTTTACAATAACTCAAAATGAATGGAGGTAGGGGGAAGGGAGGGGGGACACAGCGAGTCTTAAAAACCCGGTCGAAGCGTTGAAAAGCGGTTGGATCGATTCTTTGGCAGCGGATATTTTTGGCCCCTTCTGAAATTCCAAGGGTCCTCAAATACTGCTCTCATAGATTTTTCGACTCAATTCGACGTATCTACCAAATTCAGTGCCTGGAATCTGACTAAAATATTCCTACTTAGCATTCCTAAATATAGGTAAGTATGTTCCTGTCAATTTTTTGAACCTGAACACATCTTTTACTCACCAGAATGAATACTGTGCTTTAAAGAGTACCTAATTTTGAGACAAGAGGGTAATTGGCCGATAATCGCAGCCGGGCTGCTTCACGCACTGGAGCAAGGAATGCTAGGTAGGTGACTATTATCAATACGCGGGGGGTGTTGCCTACCCTGGCAAATTAAGGCACTACTCCCTTGAACTATTCCTATTTCTCTCCGCGATCTGCAGCGTAATTTTTGCAGCCTTTCATTAACAGAAGCACAGCGTTTTTAGCCTCTTCGGCGCATTGGCGGATCCAGAAAATTGGCAACATTGTTTTTCTCCATTTAGACCTGTGGAAATATATCGATTCTTGCAGGGGCCAACTGCTCCGATAAGAATCGATTATTTTACATAGGTTTAAATGGGGGGAATCCGGTGTTGCCAAATTGCTGGATCCGCCTCTGCTTCGGCGAGCTACCTTTCCTTTCAAATGCGGGGTTTCAAAAGGCTTTTTCATTCTTGAGAGCCGCAACACCATAGTAATTTGCTGAAATGAAGCGTTAGCAAAATTTTCCGCCGATGTTACTATAGCTTCCCAAATTTTGCTGTCATTACGGACTTCATGATATGGCTTTAAAAACGGATGGGAGGAGGTGACAGAGTGGTGATACTCGATTATACTTTGAATGGGGTTTTAATCGCAGCCGAGTGCAATTAATGAGAAGAAGAACAAAAGAAAAAAAAACTTGAAGCCTGCTTGAGTTGCTGGTTTTCTGCATTTCGAGGTTGATCGACATTTGGCTGCGTTTTAACTTCGAAGTTGAACCATTTCCGATGTAAACTCGACAATATTAGGTGACTGTCTTCGAGCCTACACCTTCTCCCCTTTTTTTTCAGGGGGCTTATGAATGATTAAAATCATTTGAAAGGAGTCGAGAAAATTGACGGGTTTTTGTGAAAAGTGTACTTATTGTTATAGGTCTTGCGGTCTCGGTGGGTTGAGGAACCGCATGTCCAGACTATGTGAGCCTTACGCGACGCACAATGGATCGAGCAAATAGGAGCGGTCGGACAAAATTTGGAAACTTTAAACGCTCATAACTCCGTTTATATCAAACTTTGAGGTTCTAAAAGTGGTTCCGTTGGTTTTCTCGTGAAATTTTCTGCTAGAAGCAATCTTGGAAATTAAAAATGAGACCAAATTAACATCGAAATTTGTATTTTTAGTTGAAAATTTCATGTCCGACCACTCTGAATGACTGGCTCCACTGTGCGGCGCTTTAGACCGGAAGCTTTCGTTTTGCCGGCCCGCGTCTAGTTTGACGGCTTCATCGGTCGGATGTTTCGGAAAATATGACTGGAACTTCCGGTTTTAGGGGGCGTGTATGGACGGTCCTCCATCAACCCTCCCTCCTTCCATTCTCCAACTTGGAGACGAGGAGAAAACTTGAACGCTAAATTGAGGGGCTTGGAGGACAAGGAGCATTAAATCAGTTTTTGAAAAAATTGAGATTTTAATGATTTCATGTAAAACTAGTCGTAATGCATATTCTGTGGAAAATTCGCTCCCAAAATCCAATATATAAGCATCAAAAAGTCAGTTTGAATTTTCTGTCCGCCTTAAGGATCCATGTAATTTCGAAACTTCAAACACGTATTTATCGAAATAGCAAAATGTCCCCCAAATGAGAATGTCCTCCAAGCTGCTCAATTAAGCAAATGTCGCCCGGGCCTTTGCGTAGCAAGTCAAACAAAAATGCATCTGTTTTCAAAAATACAGGTGCTTATTTAAAAAGAAGAGGAAAACAATTATTATCAGCCCGAAATAAATTACATGGAGTCGAATAATCGTCACTTTGGCTTCATTATTACGGCTAACGCGGCACGATCTTAGTGCTAAATCGCCAGTCAGAAACTTTAAAAATTAGTTCAGCGATGGATTGGTACATGAAGCTGGTTAAATAGCCATGTAGAAGTTGGGAAACATAAAAAAGTTCTTCACTTCGCTCGGTGGAGCGTTTGAGTGCAATTCTTCCTCACGCGGATATAAATTACGGATTATTAAAAGCCATTTTTTGGCACTACTGAAAGCCATTAAAAAATAATGTACGTTCCAGATCCGCAGGGAATTCAATTGAGAAAACTTATCACGGACTCAGAGCTGCAGCTTTCGCAACCTCATTATGAAAGCGATTCTCAGCAATGGGTAAAAAGCTTATCTGGTACGTAATTAATTCTGACATTGGGAATTTTTAAGGAGGCAAAAGTAATAACGAGAATAAAATAATTTGCGAAAGTTCTGTGATGATGAGCTTATAGTGAAGGTTTCATTGGTAAGGGAGAATGAACGTACAAATTCGGCTTGAAACGCCTTCAATTCTACTGATACTCCACGTTTCACCTCGCAGTTAGTTTAGTTGCCTAGTCCATCGTAACCCAATTTGAGGCACCGAAATGAAGATTTCAATGTGGAAGGTCCTCGTGGAGAGACAAGATTTTGTCATATGTGAAGCGCCTTCAACCCGCAAGATACTTGACGCTTCACCGAGGTTAGTTTAGTTGCCTAGTGGACCTAAACCCGGCGCGATGAGGTTTTTAATCCCAGCGATGATCCCGGCGGTTGGGTCAACTTCAATTTTACATGTGACTCTCTGGTCTTTTGGCAGTGTTTTAAAAATCAACGTGGCGGTAGTTCTTGCATACAACATTTACTTGCTGAACTTTTGACGAGATAAAAATGTTCATGGATTGGAACTAACACAGCAAAAAGTATTGGAAAAATAAAGAGAGCCAATACGTTTAAAACGGCACACGAGGTTGTTCCGAGTTTAAAAGAGAGCAAAGAAGATTTTTTTTTTTTTTTTTAAAAAAAAAAAAAAATGCCCCTTTATTTGCGTGAAATTCCGCTTCATTTTTTTTTTTTTTTTCAAATTGGCTTTCCTTTTCTAAAAAAACTCCATTTCTCTCATAGTTTTCAAAGTGATGACTTGGTTTGATCTTAATCAACAAACTACCGCGATTTTTCATGCTGACAATAAGAGCACCCCACCCACAGGCGTGAGAGGCCTACCCACTCTTCGCAAAACCTTCCCATGTTTCGGATTCTTCTTATTTTTCACGCAACCGATCACTGTTTTCGCTTCAGAAAGTTCCTCACCCCTGCGTCGCATATATGAGCGGGAGCTAATATGCCACCAGAGTCAAGGGGAATGTCAGCTGTGCTGTGTCATATTCAAGAAAAGAGGAACTTCATCGTTTGGATACCATATCATAGATTCACAGACACCAACTACGCTCTCAACTTCCGGTGATGTAGAAGAGACGCTAATTGTAAGACACAAAACTGATCTTCAGAATTTTTGCCACTGTTGCCAAGAGAGGCAGTTCGGCCAGTGTGCAATAATTACACCAGCTAGGTTATGCTGGCTCAAAACCGGCAGTTAATTGAGTTCATATGACCAACTTCCGTTGGAGTTCGTTTTAGACGAAAGCTCTATGGAAGCTCTCAATTTAGAAAAGGACCAACTCCGAGAAAGAAAAAAAAAAGAATTGGGAAAACCAAAAAACGAAATTTAGACGATAATTTTCTATGATTGGAAAATGCTTTTGGTGCATGTTGTTAATATCCCAAAATGGGCCTTATGGCCAAAACTATAAAACTTTAGATCCTTTAGTAGCCAAAAAACGGCATTATTTAGAATTCTGAGCATTTTTCACCATCGGGATGGTGAAAGATGGTGAAAGTCGGGTTTCGAGTAGAAAAAACCCAAATACGCTCCATCTAAATGATCAGTTAGATCAACCAAGATTCTAATTACATTACCTATCGTAACCAAAACAATTTTTGGAACAACAGTGACAGCGCGAGGATTAGATAACCTGAAAGAGAGAGATCAAAACAACGGTCGGTTGTGACCGGCAAAAAACGACTCCAAATAAAATACTCCAGAAAAATCCCCTAACACCATGGCCGGATTTACCGACACTTGCCGCCCATGGGCCGCCTGTACTTTGCCGCCCTCTTCTCATTCATTTTGAAACATCAATAAAAACCATCAATTGAACGTGCCGGAGGGAGAAGGGTGCATAAGACGCGTTCACTCGTGTTGGACACATTTTTTGCGTAAGCCCTGTCAACACTACTAGCAAAAGTTCACGGAACTTCGCGCGAAAGTTCAGTTCCGTAAACCTATCTCTGTGTGGCAAAGGTCTTTCATTTGTAGGGAATGAACTAAAAAATTAAGAAAGAACAAACATAAATGTGGTTTAATAATTTTAACTTCCGCCGCCGGCGCCGCGCGCCGTGCCGCGCTGACCAAACTGTGTTTGGTGCAATGCGTGAAGTATTCATGTAGTCTTGTAGGCACTGTGCGTTTCACGCCGCGCCGACCGCTGTTGACCGTACTGTGTTTGACGCAATGCGTGAAGTATTCATGCAGTCTCGTAGGCGCTAATATGTGTTACGTGCCTACTGCCGAGGGCTTCTTCTTTTCATCTCAAGTCCACGTCATCATTTCTCTCTGCGCCGCGCCGCTCCAGGCCAAATTACGTGTTTGGGGTCTCTCTTAACTCAACTAATTAAAGGTGCGCAGTCTTTTGTATCACCGAAATACGACAAAATTAGAAATTAATGAGCTCTCAGGAAATGAGAGATTTTGTCACTTTTTCTTGTTTGTAATTTTTATTCTGAATCCGATTTTTTTGTACCTGCATTTAAAAAAATTGCAAAATTTGCCGCCCCCTAATTTTGTCGCCATGGGCCGCGGCCCATGTGGTCACCCCCTTAATCCGGCCCTGCCTAACACCATCTTCAGTTGTGCGGATTGGATAAAACTTCATCAGGGAGGCTGGGAGACAATTACATACCCAGTAAGTTCAAGACGCTTCGAGTCATTTGATAAACGAGAGAGATTATGTGCAGGGCAAGGTTACGGCAGAATTTAGAAAATAAGCTTCCTTGACATTTCCTTGATTTCCTTGACACATTTTGGCGAAATCCCCGGACAATTAAAGCAGGAATGCCAAGTGGTTAAATATACATAATTAGAAATATTTTTAAGACAAAATTTGTTGTTCGAAACATCAAATCCGTTCTAGAAAGCAAATAAATATGACGACTTTAACAATATTCCCTGACATTTCCCAGTATTCCCTGACTGTAGTAACCCTGATTAGGAATTTGAAATCTTAGGCTTGCAAAAATAAAACGTAAGATGTTGCCGTTTGCAAGCATTAACTATTAATATCCCACATCGAACACGAACGAATAAGGCGCGAAAATTTTAATTTCCTCGAAGAGCGATATAACAATTTCAGCATCTGTCCGATTTGTAATGCTGGAACATTAACGAGCAATTAGATAAGTCAATGAATGTCGATAGTCTGTAATGGGGCATTGGTTTGAATTTGTTGACCGAGAGGAAAGTTACGTCAGATCTAGTGGCAGACGCTTCATCAAGCCAGGGGCAAAAAAGAAAAAGAAAGAGAAATTGCGGTAAAAGCATTTTACGATTCGCGGAAGTGAAGTTCTGAAGATTTGGTCCCACGAAAGCTGCGAGGGTTTTCCAATAACGCTCACAAAGTTGAGCGCAAACACTTGGATGCTCAGAACCATTTATCGTAAAGAGCAATATCCTTTCCGGACCATAACGCTGTTATACGAAAAATTTATGGAGTAAAGACAAGACTGATACACTGAGAGAAAGACCCGTGTTGCGTTCTAACAGATTAAAATGCATAATGCAAGTTCCGATCTTGGGGGCGGGAACCTTTCTTTGCGATATATCGATTGCTCTGTCATTTGAACCAATGGAAAAGGATCGATAAATAGGGTGTTCGCAACGAACACCTTAATGATCGATTCTTTACCATGGTTTCAAATGAGGAAATATCGATAATCGATCATTCGCGCCTCGCCACTGGAAACTTTATGGGAGAAAATGTATGCTCACGGTTGGCGGCCGGTAAAACCGGATTTTTCCGTCGGTGGGACCGGAGATGGACAGTGACCTATTGAAAGGCTGAGCGTCCAGGTACAAAACTTGGACAATCCTTGTTCCTTTACTTACGTGAAGATGAATCAATTTCTAATAGAAAATTGTAGACGTCAGTAATTTCTCTGAATAATGGTACAAACTTCAGGGGAATATAACATGTAAAAATGGATAAAGTTCCCCAATGTCTTGCAAATTAGAACACCTTTAAATATTTTCGGCTGAAAATGGAGACCTTCATGTGATAACAGTGGGCTCCTTGGGGGAGGAGGCTAAGCTTGCCTCACCGGATTTTACGAGAGAGGAGGAAAGGCAAAACCTAACAAAAGCCCCCCGCTCGAAAAAAATGTAAACTTAAAAGTATATTTGAACCGCGTTCAGCAGAAAGCAACCAAGCCACATCTTATTTTGCCAAAGGTTAGGCAATCATGAAAACGGTTGTGCGGATTTTCGTACAAATTACAATGAATTTTCTGCATAGTACGAATCGAACTCCTTGAAATTTTCAAAGGAATTCGCACAAACGTTCTCTTGTAAAACATTAAATTGTTCAGTTAAATTTGGCAATAGCTGATGTGACTTGGTTCCTTTCTGCTAAACGCGGTCCATTTTATGATGAAAAGATTTCATCCAGATAATTTTCAAGCTATCAACGTCATTTTCTGTACATGGGAGGGGGGAGGGGGTGTCGAATTGGTCATTGGGAATTCTAATTGGAGAAGGGGGGCGGGGGTTGAGAGGGTGTCGCACGGATTCTCTAAAAGGTGGAAGGGGGTTAAAAAGTCGGCTGATAAAATGTCTTACGCGATATTTGAGCGGCTCCTCATGATTCTCCCAACGTTTGCTCATATCAGTGTTATATTCTTTCTTTCATCTCTTTTTTAGTGTTTCAGCTATTGGGATTTATTTCTGCACATCAATGGCAGAAGTATAGGGGAGGGGAGGAGGAGCGTTATTACCCTGGAAAGTTGTGAAAATGACGAGATGAAATTGCGATTTTTATTCATTACTAAGAGATTAGCCACTCTGTACCCCCTCCACTTCGAGTGCAGATTATTCTTAGCTTCGCGCACATGCTCTCATCTCTTCTTTCCCGCTCTTTCCGGCTTCGAGAAAGGTGAGATCTTGTGCCCTTCGGAAAATTATGAGAGCTTTTCCCTCGTACCTATAGAAACTAAATTAAGAGCGTCGATTTTATTTTTACAAGACAAAAAAAGTCAAAATTCAGAGAATGCTTTTGTAAGGAACTTTCGCTGGGATTCCAAGAGTTTTAAAAATTCAAAATTTCTTGTTTTTCCGGAATTTTTCAAAATGGTTTTCGGCAAGTGTTCGTCTTTAGATTAAGGAGGATGAGATTCAGCATTAAGACAAGTTGAACGGCCAGCACTCAATTGTTTTAACTAACATGACTGTCGAGTGCCAAAATGCCCTATTTTTCGAAAATTTTTCCCTCCGACTTGAAAGTTTTCTATCGTCGTCATGAAACTCGAGTAGCAAAATTCTCTGTAGTCTTAGGATTATTCCTACCCAATTCTTTCGAGATTTTTCACATATTTTCCCACCACATTAAATTAAATATTTTCCCGATCGGTACATCCAATCGCCAAGAGCTCTATTTCACGCGGCCAAACGAAACGAGACTTAAAAAGTTTCGACTTTCATTTGTGCTTTTTGGATGCCGAATTTCAATTCGTTTTTAAGCTTCGTTTACCCAAGTTTCCTGAAATATTCTACAGCTTTTCCTATATACCCAAAAAAATGACAAGTTTTCTCAGTATACATAATCATTAGAGGCCTTATTTCACGCGGTTCAATAAGACGAGACTTTCAGTCAAAAATACTTGTTGGGCGCCTGCAAATTCCCAGTTATTGAAAAGCTTCGTTCACCCAAATTTTCTCAGATTTCTCACAGTTGTCCCCCCAAAAGAAATACCAATCCTCAGTGCCCCTATTCGATGCGATCAAACGCGCAAAAAAAATCTACAAAAACGCGTAAAAATTCAAACAATCCTTAAAAGGCAAACCTTGATAATAAACATACCAAAGCCGGTTTGTTCATTTCTCATTTCTCATTTATCCCCCCCCCCTCCAAAAAAAGAAGAGCCAATCTTAACGTAGAAACCCTAATTGACGCGATCAAACGTGGAAAAAAAGTCAACAAAAACGCGAAAAAATTTTTAAAAAAAAAATATTTAAAAACTAAACACAAGAATAAATATACCAAAGCCGGCCTAGAGATACAATCATTTATCATAGTTTTTTCCCCCCAAAAGAAAAACCTATCGTCAAAACCCTTATTTGACGCGATCAAACGTGGGGAAAAAAATCTACAAAAACGCGTAAAAATCGGAAAAAATTACTTGTAAGCCAAACACTAGAATAAACATACCATAGCCGGCCTCGAAATACAATCATGGATGGGCACGACGCGGCACTTTTTCCGGCGTTTCTCGACGAAAGACGCCATTTCTCGCGGGCGGGCGCGTTCGTTCGCGATCGCGGCGCTCGGTCCGAAAGCACACTGCAACTCCCCAGCAAAGCCACCGAGCCGACACTGCCGACGCGCGCCTGGCCCCAAGTTGTGCCTGCCCCGTGCATCGGCGGGGCGACCCTCCCTCCTTCGCACTCGACACTCGACGACGACGGCGGATATCCAGACACGCATCTCTCCGCCGAGCCGGACCGGGCCGGGGCGCATGACAACGGCGGCGGAATATCGACTCGGCAAGACGGCGGCGTGGCCGAGCGGAGCGCCATGCCACCGCCACGGCCGCCGAGCCGAAGCGGGCCGCTCGCACTGCGGGGCCGGGGCCTCGGCGCGAGGAGCGTGGAGTCGGAGCGGGTGAGTCAGGCCCGGCTCTCAGTCTCGGCTGGCGAGTCAGGCCGAGCTGCACCGAGTTCCCATCCTCGTTGTCGATCCCATTCCACCGTCGTCGTCTGTACTCTCGTTCTCGTCTCCGGGGTTTGAACGCCGCCTCGCGCCACGCGTATTACACTCCGAGGTTCCGATCCTGGATTCGCCCCGGAGTATCCTCGCTTTGGCGGTCGAGAGAGAGGATTTTTCCGATTGATCGTGAGGCGATTTCACGATCGACAGGTCGGAACACAGTTGAATCGGTGAGAACGAAAATACACCAACTCGAAAAAATTAAAATAATCAAGACTCACATAAAACTGCACAGTATAGACTAATAAGACAGTCTAAGAAGAAGATTTTTGGTGTCGAAGGACAAGTACTGAAGGACCTTTCCGAAAAAATGAAAATAATCAAGACTCGCATAAAACTGCACAGTAGATTAATAAGATAGTCTAAGAAGAAGATTTTTGGTGTCGAAGGACAAGTACTGAAGGACCTTACCTTTCAAAGGTCCAAGCTGGAACAGATGCGCTAACTTCAATGACCTTCATAAAAATTGACTTCATCAGATTGATTCAATCAGAGAGGTCAGACATGAAATTTTCAACAAAAACTACAAAGTTTGATGTTTGAATTGTCACATTTTCAATTTTTCTCCCATTGACTCAATGGAGGATTTGCAGGTGTCTGAAATTTGATTAATTCAATGTTTGAATGGACACTAACGAGTGACCTGAACACGACCCTTGGTTCATTATTGAACGATTATTGAAGGAGGTATGACAAAATGCTCTATCTGCTAAAATACATGCGGTTATGAATGGGAAATTCCTCCAGATGACGTCACTAGGCGGCGCATTTTCTCACTTTTAAATCTATTTTGATACTATTTCCCATCAAAAAATACTGCAAAATCAGCTCTTTGGACGCTTTCAGATGAAGCAATAAAAAACTTGCGAGCAAATTCTCCATTCACCGTGTTTCGGAGTAAATTTCGCCTCGAAGCCTGAGACCCTCCCAGGAGAACTGGAATTGTCTGAAGGTTCCGGGTCATTCGATAACCCCTAGGGTTATTGCCCCTTATAAAACGATTCCCTGAAAACTGGGGGGGGGGGGGGGTTGTCCAAAGGGCACAACCAGGGCTGGAAGAGCACTCGGGGACCCGAGGTGCTGGATGATGGAAGCCCTAAATCGTAAAATTTAGGGGCCCGATGGCTCAAAATTTTAGGCTCGGGGCCTCTTTAGTAGATCTGTCTTTTAGATTCCGAGGACCCTGGGAGGATTTGGAATTTAAAAAAAATCCGGTCCTAACCCACCTTTGACTTCGGGGCACTCACAAACGACTCTCTATCTCAATTCCTTTAAAAGTTACAGGGGCGATGTCTGATGCCTAGGTGGTGCGGAACTTCTGAATCACCTGAACTTGAATTTATTCTGAACACTGTTCAATAATAATTCTATCTTCCATTGAAATTCTAAGAGTTATCTTGATTTTCAAAAAAAAAAAAAAAAATTTAAGACATTAAGATAAAAAGCTCTTCAAAACATGTCTTTGCAATTTGATTATAGCCTCCGACATGAATAAGGAATGAAAACTGCTCCTTAAAGGCGAAATTCACGCTGCAAAAAAAGGAAATTCTGCTCCGCACACACATCCTGGTGGCGTGGCGTTCTTTGCGACATATCGATTGTCATGCCATTTAAACATATGGAAAAGGATCCATAGACAGGGTGGTCGCAGCGAACACCTTAATAATTGATTCTTTACCAAAGCTTCAAATGGAGAAATATCGATAATCGATCATTCACGCCACGCCACTGACACATCCCTTGGACTACTCGTTGTTAGACAACAGATCGAGTGGGAGGCACTCTGGATTCAACTCACGATCAGAGATTTTTGAAGAGGTATAGTTTTCGGAAAGTTCAAAGATTCAGAACAGATAAATTGAAAAAGAATACTCGGGTATCGTTTCAACCCGTTTGAATTTCTGACTGGCATAGATTAATTTATGCAAAAAAACATATGAGGACCTGATGGTGGCCAACATTAGGACCTTAAGGTCTTGACACGTAGTGTAGATTACGTAACCGAGAGGTTTCATAACTATGCGGCTAAGAAACCACACGAGAGAATACAATTCAAATATTCGAGTGGGACAGGAAAGAGAAAGAGACGATACACAACGATACTAAGAAATGAGGAGAACTTTGAATCCTGAAAGCAAACAGATTCGCCTTCATTTAATAGAATAGGCAAAAGCGGCTTCTTAAGCGGCGGAATAGTGGTATCGGCGCCGTGAGTGTGAATGCGGCTCGTGATAGCGCCCACACCATTTAGATACAAATATTACTGCTCCTGGGAGCTCGTTTTGCCTACTTCGTCAAATGACGGCGAATCCATCCGAGCGAATGCACTAATTGTAAGCTATCATCTCCTTTCCAGCCTTGATTTTATGACTGTTCTATTGACTGGCTTGCGTCTTCGGAGAAACTAAGTAAAAAAAAACTGATCGATCCTTTCGCGAGATAATTAATTATTTTATCTCCTCTCTTTTCCACCGTAAATCTTGCAAACATGATCGTTTCACTTCTGATATATAAAATTTGAATAAATGCTATTAAAAAACCGAGATATTAGAGCTAGACCTATACATTTTTCAAAAAATTTCGTTTGGTGAATATCATTAGTCCAACAAAGATGCAGAACCTAACTCCAGGTTTGATATCGCTAACATTCTTAACTGGAACTTTTATTTTTAAAAGGGTTCAACTCCTAAAAACTGATGAGCTCTAAATGTCCTTAAAACTATTGGTAAGCGTTAAAAAACTACCGTTTCTCCGGTCGGTTTTAGAGATTAAAAGTTTGTTTTTTTCTGCACCCTTGCACCGATTTCGAAATTTTAAAGAGTCATTCTACGAGATATTCGAACACGGAATTTCAGAAAACCTTATGGCAACATCTGGATGTTCATAGGGAGTTTTTCTTCAGCACGGAAGTCTGATTCTCCTTAGCGCGGCGCGGAGCTTTTTGTCACCTCTACTGTGCTAAGGAAAAACACCGTATGCACATTTGAATGTTGCCAAATACCTCCTAACAAAACAATTATTTTGTAAGAAAGTTATGCATACTTTCCTTTGATATTTTCAGATATTACAGATTGAATGACTAACAAAATTATCTGAAAAATTGAAAGAAAAATATCAATAACTTTCTCAAGAAATTCGTATTTTGACTAAAGAAATTCGGCAACGACTGGGGGTTTATACGACGTTTTACCTTAGCACGGCAGAGCTTTCAGTGGAGCTGCTCATAGAAAGAGCCAAGAGCGATCTTCTAGCACTTGCTCCTTGTCGAAGCATTTAAAAAAAGTGTCTGCCGGTCCCCGGTGATAAGACACGCGAAGAAGGTGGCTTTACCTGTGCCCTAATCCATGCGGAAAAAGGCGACAAAAGACCCATTGTTACTGGTCGCCCGGCCGTCTTTCAGGGCTCCCCTTCCGTCCCACTTTTTTTTCCTACTCCTTTGGCTCCAGCGTTGTCGTTTCGAGGACCCCCTAACGAAGCTGCTTCTACACCTACGTCGACACAGAGCCTTACAGATTGAGGAGAGGGCATGCGAAACCTGACCTGCGGGCTGATTGTTGAAATTGATAGACAAAGCTAGAGTGCCTATATAGGGAGAGTATGGACATGTCGAAAATTTGGAGGTTAGGTGATGGAGCTCTCAGACCCCAAAAGGGTAGGCAATCTATGAATTCAAATTATCCAGAGTGATATACATATAATCACAATTGTTGGGAACAGTCGTTGGTAAAGCACGTACTTGACTTGGTTTTTGCATAAACTTACTCATTTTTGCGGAAGAATGATTATTTATGAATTTCCTTGTCCATTTTCGTTTGATATTGGAGTCTGAAGATTGACAGTGACATTTTTCGTTTTCAAAGGTTACCTACCCTTTTGGGCCCTAAGAGCTACATATTTCGAGTTGTTCATACTCTCCTTATATAGGTACTCTAGACAAAGCTATGGACAAAGAGGACAAAGGAATATGGAGGGATCCTATTGGTGGAATCAGGTGGCTGCAATGGACAAAGGCCGTAGGTGATAGGCTGACTAAAGGTAACCCATGAGAGACCCTACAGTTAGTCCATCATTTACATCCTTTTTCTATAAGAACCACCCATTTCAAACAACGGGATCCGTCCATATCCTTTTTGCCTTCTTTGTCCAAAGCTTTGTCTATCAATTTCAACAATCAGTCCGCAGTTGAGAGAAAAATATTTAGGAAATATTAGGTCAATGTTTCCGGGAAATTATTTAAGTATGATCCAGGTTTTGCCTTGAAGCCAGGGTTTCAAAATTACCTGTGAGTTTCAGGCGGTATCTGCCTCTTAAGCTCAATTTTTTTGGGCCATTGAAGATTTTTTTTTTTGGGCCAAATTGAATGTTTGCTGACATCACGGTGCATTTAGTAAAAAGAACGAGGAAAAACACTAAAAAATGTGGCCCGAACCATACGTACTAAGGTGGTAGAATAGTGTTTGGTCCACACTATTTTAAGGGGGAAGCAAGGCCAAAAAGTTCAAATATTCAATTCGAGTTAAAAATTTGGGCTTAAAGCAAAATTTGAAATTTTTGAACTAGAGCGTTTAGCTCAATTCTTCCTCGCGCGGATATAAATTATGGATAATTAAAAGCCATTTCTTGGCACCTACCGCAAGTCATTAAAAAATAATGTACGTTTTAGATCTGCAGAGAATAAAATTGAGAAAACGTATCACGGATTCAGAGCTGCAGCTTTCTCAACCTTATTATGAGAGCGAACAAGAGCGATTCTCAGCCAGGGGTAAAAAGCTTATCTGGTAAGTACGTAATTTATTCTGGCATTGAGGATTTTTAAGGAGGCAAAAGTAATAACGTGGATAAAATAATTTACGAATGTTCCGTGATGATGAGCTCATAGGGAAGGTTTGATTGGTAAAGGATAACGAACAACGAACGCGCAAATTCGGCTAGAAGCGCCTTCAATTCCAGTGATACTCCACGCTTCACCTCGGAGTTAGTTTAGTTGCCTAGCCCATCGTAACCCAACTCGGGGCACGGAAATGAAGATTTCTACGTGGAGGGCCCTCGATTTCTTACAAAATTTGGGCTTCAAGCAAAATTTGAAATTTGTAAACTTTTTCGTCTTCCTTTCCCCGCTAAATAGTGTGGACCCAGCACTATTTTGCTACCTAATTCAGTAAATAGTTATACGCGCATTTAAAATAACAATTATGTGGGTACGAGGGCAACTGCTTGCTATGCGAGTTCTATGCTGATTCAAGAAAAATTACCAATCAGAGAAATTAAGATTGCATCCATTTTTAAGGTCAATCACCGATTTTTTAAACGACTTTGGCGCCAGAGGGTTAGAAACACTGGTTGAGAGCAAGTGATAGATTGATAACTTAAGCGAGAAACGCATTTTATGAGATAATAAAGGTAGTTCAAGACAGCTTTTTCGACTTAAAAAAGGGACAGAGAGTTGGAACTGTAACCAAGGTGCGTCACTATTCAGTGAGCTGAAAATCTCGATACAGAGGGAAAAAAAGCTCATTGGAGCAAAATTTTCCCTCAAAGAGATATGCTGTTCGGTGCAACATTCGTTACGCATTTCCAACTTTCTGTCTATACGCCTCGTGCGTCTACTACGATCAGTTTGTAAAAAAGGGGCTTAAAGTTGTGATGATAAAATACATTGGCCTAAAGCTTAACACGTCGAGTGAAGCGACGATCACTTTAACCACTGCGAAGCCAAGAACTGGGGTCGCCATTCGACTTACATCGCGAACAAGAGGTTCGTTTAAAAAAAGCCGCAAAACTATAATCACTTTAAATAAGTTCCTCATTATATACGATCCTCAGGAAATCTAGTAGCTAGTACTAGATTTCTGACAATGCTCATCACCTGGTTGGTAAACGTAGCTACATTTATAATCAGCGGTGACGTGGCGTGCTTTGCGATATGTCAATTGATCTGCCATTTGAACCTATGGAAAAGGATCGATAAACAGTGTGTTCGCAACGAACACCTTAAAAATCGATTCTATACCATAGCTTCAAATGGGGAAAAATCCATAATCGATCATTCACACCTCGCCACCGCTTGTTACTGTTCCGCCATGCTAAGGAAAAAAGCCGCATAAACCTTCAGGCGTTGCCAAATTTTCTTTGATAAAACGCGAATTTCCTGGTAAACTTATAAATATTTTCCTTCCAATTTTTCAGATTATTTTGTTCGTAATTTCACCTAAAGTTCCTGAAAGTTTCAAGGAAAAATATTCATAACTTTCCTCAATTAGAAACATTTTATCGAAAGAAATTTGGCAACTATCGAATGTTCAAACGGCGTTCCTCCTTAGCACGGCAGTATTGTTCCTGTTGCTAACTCCTGTAGCCACTAATGTTGGGACCGCGTTTAGCAAAAAGGAACCAAGCCACATCGGCTACTGCCAAATTTAACCGGGCAATTTGATTTTTTGCAAGAGAACGTTTCTGCAGATTCCTTTAAAATTTTTAAGAAATTTGCATCGTATTGAGCGAAAATTTCACCGAAATTTGCACAAAAATCCGCACAACCGTTTTCACGTGAAAAATGTAATCGTCCAGTTGAATAAGGCAATAGCTTATGTGCGGCTCAGTTCCTTTTCTGCTTAATGAGGTCCATTAATATCTGCTCTCTTTTAGCTGAGGGTCTGGTTACAAAACCAAAACTTAACGACACTTGCTTACGAAAAATTACCTATACAAAAATAAGAAGTTTGATTAACGGTTCTAACCATAGCTGCCGACTATTAAGAAGCGGGTTGCTGGGGAAAATCTCGGCAGAACGTCTTACCGCAAGAAATCGAATCATGTTGGTTTAATTTGCTACGATTTGTATCATAGGAAGAGGCAATACGTTACCACGCTATATGAATCGATGTGATATGAAGTTTATTTGGACCAAGTTTAACCGAGACTCAAATGTGAACCAAGAAAGAAACGTTTGAAGTTGTATACCTCTGTAAGAATCAATACTAAGGACAAAGTTTGACGACTATTTAAACGATCAAAATATATTTTATCGACTTGATTTTTGCCAGGAGAAAATATTTGCAACAAGAACTGAGGAAAGAAAAGATTGGACTAAAGCCACGTCAACCTGTATGCATCGATCATCAGTTGGCCAATTGGTTAGCACATAAATGTCCGTCATTTCCTGGTGTGACATGTGTCTAATCCTTTCTTTCCCCAGTTCTAATGCGGCTTGGTGCGTTCCTTAAACACGGCCCATTTAGGAAACGAACAATTTTGAGTTCGCGGTCAATCCAGGACCAACAAATAGGTACGTTAGAATGACCGCAAAAAAGTCCATTTGACGAGTATAAACAACTTTTTAAAGGCTCAATAAAAAAGAGAAAAAGTGCGTTGAAATAGATCCTATTTCGAAGGGCTTCAATCGAAAATGATTTCTATCTTCGAGTCTAAAAATTCACGTACTTCTACAAATGACACTTTCATGACCCCAAGACTAGCGCGAATATATTCGACTATCTTATTGTAAGCAAGTACGTACTGTCGTACTACTCATATTTTTGATAAATAGCTCGCCCAAGGTATACACCGCTGATAAGAATGACACGGTTGCGATTCTTGTAAGTTGGCAACACAGTTCTTCTTCCATTTAAAGTTATGATAAACAATCGATTCTTTGTGAATAAGCTTGCCTCACTTAAATCGAGATTTTAATGGATTTAACCCAGTTAGCAAGATTGAGCTCCGTCATTTGGATCCATTAGCCCGTACAGGAGCTCGCTCCAATACTCGCGTTATCCACAAAATGTAGCAGTAGATTGAAGATGGCATTGCTAAGCGCGCTCCTAACAGTCTCCGTCCACAGTCTCTAGCGGCAGATTGGAGACTGAGTTGATAAGCGCGCTTCTCACGGTGTTCATCCACCGTCTCTAGCGGTTGAACGAAAATGAGTTGGGAACGAGTCCAGGCGAGCGCATCTAGCCGCGTGTGTAGTGCGTTTGGAGTTGCGGAGAAATGCAGGAGTCTGGATGCGCGCGCCGCGCGTCCTTCAACAGGCAAGTTGTTGTTAGTTGTGATTCAGGATTCAGTTGTGATTTAAGTCGTGAGCGCTCATGGAATTGATTGTAAAGTCCACTTGTTAAAGTAAGTATTTTCCCCATGTTTTTATTGCGTTTTCATTTTCTTTACCGGTGTTCAATTCTGCCGCTCGTGCAAGAAACAAAGCCGAAGTATTTATCTCTTAGTTAGTTATTTCGCTGAGGGACGAAAGTTAGTTAACCTTTTCAGAGCTAACCTCCCTACCACTTTGTACCAGGCTCTGTTTATTTGAATTCAACATATTTCCTTGCGAAAGTGCAGGACAGTTGATCCTCAGTTGTCCTCCAGACGTTGAACTACTAATGCGGCAAGAACACAATTCAGCTTAATAAGCCAAAATTCTCGTGATTGTAGTCTATTCGAATCTTACTTGGCTAATGCAAGGTACCACTGGCTTATAACTTGTAGACTCGTGTAAGCACTCGAGCAGTGAGCTTGCTTATGAGTTGTCGACGTATATACTTAATCAATGAGTTTCAGACTGCATCTCACTTCTTCTCCGCTAGGTACTTTCATCTGTGCTCAGGGTTGGAATTGTCCTTGTCCATTGTAACCTATCTCGGATGAGATAAGCTGAACTCAATGAGTAATTGATTTTGGTTTCATCCGCTGGGCGGTCCTTGTGAGGTGTGGAGTATTTGTTCACAATAACATACCTCAAGGGGTTGCGGAGTCTCTCAGAAGTCAACGGAAATGAAATTGTGATTTTCACAGAACTTTTATGCGTTGGTTCTGAAGTATTCAATATTTAAATGATAACAATCGCTGATTCGTTTAACAGAGTAAATGTATAAGAACTAAACATAAGTTGGGTTTAATAGGTGTGAAGCTAATGTGTAATGTCATTTTCTTCATCTATTTTTCAGTGGCCTCACTCCAGACGAGCATCTGCACTCAGATTTATTTCCAAGTATTCTGGAATTTCCAAGCGGCTAATATTCTATGATCTGATTGCCCATCCTGTATCTGAGCAATCATTGGTAGAGAGTTAGCAGCAAAATCAAATCACCTCAAAATTCATCATTTAGTGCTTCAAACAACATTGATATCAAGGAAGATTTAGTGTAGGCAACTTAAATAATCATAAACAGTAACTTTCAAAGTTTGATTTGTCCAGATATTAATTTTTTCAAACGAAGAAGAAAAGTGTACTTAAGTTCAGTGTTGGAAATGCCTAAATATCTGAATCAGTAGGTAAAACCAAACTCTTCGGAATTTAAGTTTTAAAGAAGAACTTTATATTTGGTGAGTCTTTTTTTATATAATTTCTTAACGCATACTCTTTCAACACAGAAGGACTTTGATAAACTGTAGAAAGCAGTTTCTTTTGATGCTCATCATGAAACATCATCTCAGCAAGTTTGATGCCCTCTCAAGTCTTAGTTACATATTTGTGCTGTATATTACCTGAAAATTTTGATTTTATGTAGTTCAAAGCCTTGAATATTTTCTGTCATACTTTTTAGTGATCTAGCTGTATTTGTCGGCATCATTTAAGTGGATCTGAATGTCATGATTTATCATTATAACTTATTAAGCTTAAATTAAAGACATTGTGTACCTCCATCCCCCCAAAACTGAGGGTCTCGCAGTCAAAATCTCACGATACTTTACACCGGTGACTAATGAAGAGTTACTGGAGTAAGCGTTATTCGGACTAGATGTGGCGCATCAATCAATACCTTGGTATACATTTTCTACATCAAACTTCATTCATCTTTGTAGGGTTCTCTATGGCAAACATGCTCCCTTTGTGCTACCAGCTACATGTGTCTTTCAGTGTCATTGATTATCCTAGGATGACGAATGACATGTGTCATCCATAATCGTAGGATGACCAATGACATGCGCCGTTTAATGTCATTCATCATCCTAGAATTCCTAACGACATGTTTTAGGATTTTCAATGACATGCATCCTTCGATGTCAGGATTTTCAACAATATATGGAGTTGAATGTCTTTCAATGTCTTTGTGAGGAATGAAGGATATATCCTTGGAACGACATCTGATGATAAAGTGGCAAAAGTTATATTTTCCTTGAGAAAGTGGTGAAGATTCATTGTCAGCTTCGATGAGATTTGATAGCAAGTATTTGCAGCATCCTATTCTGGACGTATGTTGAGGCTCCATCAAATACGGCTAAAGTCATTAATACTGTTCTTTCGTCCGCTTTCCAATTTTATCGATAATAATTCTTACATCTACTTAATAGTGCCGATTCCGAGAGGAGACTCTTATCAACAGGGTTGTAGAAGAATAATAAGTTACCAAAACCAATGTTTTCAGATATGGCTAGTCTCCAGAATTTCTTTTTTTCATACAAATTATGCTTATTACTTGTGCAATGTGTTCCATAAATAAACTTTTTTAATTAATGAAAAAACTGAACTAGGTAATAACATTTTCTCTTAAATCTCTAGTTTGCCCTAGAGAAAAGATCATCTTGTACATCATCAATGTACATCTTAAATTTAGAAACGAGTCTATTTGGAATGATATAATGGTAATAAAATATCTTTGTTGGTATACATCTGAGTTTTTTTCTTTTCTTCTTTTTTTCTTGACTTTAAATGTTCTCCTTTGTTACATTGTTGAGAATAAGTCTAGTTAGCCATAGGGGAAAGAATTATGAGAATTTCTGTTAACGTTCCTGCCATCACATTTAATTAGTATTTCAATATAAAAAGTTTTATTAGCGACAAATCGAATTCATCCAAGAGGCAATTTGTCTCCTAGAAAAATAGATTTTCGAGGTAATATGGAAAATAACTTTGGTTAATAACTTTGACTTGGTGTTTTGTGTACCTATCGAAAACACTTTGATATAAGTACATTATAAGTATAGGTCTTTACTATAAGTTTTCTTTTAAAAAAATTAAGTTTTCTTTTGGGGTTACTTTTAAAAAAATCGGATCCACAGGAAGTACATCTACATCTCTAGAGTGCCTGATTTCTGAAATTTTGAAGCTAAAAAACTGAGGAATAAAGTGAAAAATATACCTACAAGAAAAAATTTCATGGATTGTGAAATTTTTTCAGAGGTATTTTTGACATTTTATTTTTGAGCTTTTTAGCCTCAAAATTTAATTATATTCTCTTGAGATATAGATCTATTTCCTGAAGTTCCGATGTTTTGTAGAAGAAATAAAAACCCCGAATAAATTCCATTATCAGTCAGAACTGCCGCTAGGAACGCGCTGCGTGACGCCGCGCGTGGGCCGCTTGCGTCAGTGCTACAAAGCCGCTCCGGATGCCGCGAGTAGCGGCGCCTGGACTCCGAGTCCGACGAGGGGTATCCACATTCAAACGGGTGAATATCTCTAGCTACACTGCCGCTCCTCTATGTGGATAAGCGATTCCGCTTTAGCACCGTCCACCGCTAGAATCGGCGATGGAGCTCGATCTTGCTAACTGGGTAAATGGCAGAAAACAGTGTGGCCAACTCAAAAAATTGCCACTGGCGCATAAAAAATGAAAAAAAAAATGCTCCCTTGCTGAGGAAAAACGGCATATGCCTTCTATCACATAAAATACAAATTTTTCGGCAAACATTGTGAATATCTTCCTTCAAATTTTGTAAAGACATTTCTTCCCAATTTGATCTATTGTGGGTGTGCAAGAATTTTCGTTTTCCTTAAAAAGCTTTAAGAAAGTATTTTATTCGGAGACATTACAGGCAAAGTTCAAATTTTCATAGAGCGTTCTTCCTTGACGAGGTGGATTACGAGACAGGAGATTACTTTACCGTAAAAAAAAAAAGATTGAGACCATCCTGGTATAATTGCATAGTTTAGCAGTTAGATTCTAAAGAAAAGGTGTGCCAATCTCAGACTTTAGAAAGTTCTGACGGATGTTTCAGGTATTTTTCCATTATTGGCATATTTTTTTACGTGTTTCTTACAAAACGAAAGAAATACGAGGCTGAAATGTCTGGGCTGTCTACATATAGAGGGCAGCGATGGCTTTCGCTCATTTACACAAAAATGTGCTGCGTCATGGCTCTAATGTCTACGAACGCTTGAATGGAAAATCCATGATAAAAATTTTGGCGACTGTGCGGTATAAACGACGCACACTGTATGCGGGAGCTTTTTGTAGCCTGGCGTGTTTTTTCACTTGGAAAATCTCAAATAGTCTTTTAAAGGGCAAATATTCTTTAGGGGGGGGGGGGGGGGGAGTCCTGCTCCTAGGATGGTAAACTTAGCTGAATAGGCGGGGTTAGTTCTTCAAGACCAAAATCTAAGTGCTTTTCAAGGAGTTATAATTACTTAGTAAAATCAAGGATTTCCGAGGAAATTTTCGCCTACTTTAGCCTACTATCAAGGCTGTACATACAGTGATAGAGCAACAATTTTTCTAGATGTCACGCATCCTAATAAGACGAGGGGTAAGGACGCTTTATTTTAAAGGTTCCGTCTGATTTTCTAGATTTCCATCATTCTCGCCTGGTAAGCACCCGAAAAGTATTGAGGAGGTATTTACCGAGGTTTCAAAGTCATCTAAACGTTGGGCAACACCAACTTGATAGGAGGCGAAAGATAAAATTGATCTCGAAAATAAGGAGCTTAAAGTTCGTGAAGGATCGCGAACTTGGATTTTCAAACCAATGTAACCATACATCATGGGCAAAACATATTTCATATAAAAGTATGGTTTATAAACTACTATCTTGTACCTAATGAAAGAGACAAAAGGGATAAAAATGAAGATGTAGATACATGAATTCTTGTCCGACCAACGTTTCCCTAATAGGTACAGTTCCTGTCCTTCACCAAGACGGTTTGCATTTTGGGATGGAAATTTCTGTGATGGCGTAAGTTGAAAAAGGACGCAGCTCTAATTGCAACGTTACTTTCAGCTCATGTTTTATCATTTCTGGAATAAAACTAAACAACAGCTTATTGTGAAAATTTTCTATGAATTTTCACAGAATTTATCACTGTCATCCGGATCGACAGATAATCTGGAGAAAATGTTAGAATCAGTAAATTATTTCAGACGTTGAACTTTTCAAAACTTTTGGAAACAATATTACATAGGCAACTATTTTCTGTGTTCTGCAAGTCTCGAGCTTGACAGGAAATCATATACCTACTAAACATCGTGGGAAAACTCTGCTCTTGTTCTCATCTTATGAATATTATCAAGACTTGCGGAATCTATTTCCTAAAACATACATGAACCTCTCAAATTTTTTTCACAAATAATCTTCAAGTGCTCACATCTGGTCGACCGAAAATGAAAATTTAACGTAATTTTTGACGTCCTCTTGGAAATTAAGAAAGAGAATCAAAATTGAGGGCCTGCTCCTAGGCATGATCCTACGTACTTGTAAAACTAAAGGATTCTTCAGAATTACCTTTGACAACAGTGATTTAAATTGAAAAATTGAATTTTAAAATAATTACGAGAGTTAAAAGTTCACTCCAGGGGTTTTTCTTCACACTTACGACAATATGAAAGATTTCCGAAATTGAGGAGACACGATTTACTGATTTATTCCGAGATGGTAGTATTATTATACACCTGTTACTTAACGAATCTTAAGAATGTCATACGAACTTAAGTATGCAATTTGAGATTTCTAAATACCAAGTAAATCCTTTGCTTCCCTTTTCTGACAATTTACTGTTCAATGATAACTAGTGTGCTCATAGACTTTGCAACTCGTTGGATGAAGGAAATGTTCCGTTTTGAAAACTGTAGGATCAAAGACTTCTCGATCGTTTTTGCTTAATTTAAGGTTTTGATTAGAGGATTCGCTGGAGACAAAAAAAAAAAGAAAAAAAGGAGAAAAAAGCTAACTGCTGTCATTAAATATCGAAATTAAAAGCAATACCCTGGCAGCAATGACTGTTAAAAAAAAAACTTATATTATACTCTGAAATTTCAAAAAGACAACTCTTTAAAAAAAAACTCTTAAAATTCTCTTATTGAGAAATTCTTTTTAAGTAAGCATTTTCAATTAAAACTTAAGTAAACAAAATATTGAAAAACTCTCAAAATATCAACTGTAGTTTGTCAACCCTAAAAATGTTTGAAAATGTTTTTAAAAAACTACAGAGATATTTTAAGAGTTGTTTTTAACACTTTTTCCCTTTAATTTTACCTTTTGTAAATTTTACTAAATGGCCAAAAAGGGTTTCCTGATACGAAAATGTTAACAGTTTTTTTAGGAGTTTTTGAGGAATATTTTAAAGGGTCATTGCTACTTGAGTACTTTCGTCTTTTCTGGCATATGTGGCTCTTATGCAGAAGTAAAAAAAAATCAGACTCCATATGCAGCTACCTTTTTCACATAAACTTAGTGAATCAAAGACTAAATCTATGGGCGTAGCCAGGGAAGGGAGTAGGGGGGCTACTTCCCAAAACGATGTACTCATAAGCAGTGGCTTCAAATCAGTAGACCCTTGGCTCCCATAGACTTGTTCTAGCTTGCTCATGACTAAATCACAGGTAGGTGCCCAACACGACTTCAAAGAAAAAATACGCGGGTGACAGAAATATTTCTATGGCCCAATTTCTGATTCCATGCCTCGAGTCAAATTACATATTATACTAGCATAACCTACCATTCAATAGAATCAATTGAGAGAGGAGAATTTCTTGCTATTTTCAATAAGTCAAAGGCTGTTTTTATCAACACTTAAGATGCAAACATTTAAACACATAATAAAATAGCGCGTTCAACCACCTTAAAAGATGCAGCCACTTTGAGAGAACCGAATGAGCTAAACACCCATTTGAATCGCTCGAAAAAGTATACTGCAGGATCATGTTTGAAGTAACTCGGGCGCAATTTTGAGAGCTTTACGTCTTGCTTGCGTAGAAGCCACCTTGGCAGTTAAACGCTATTTCAAGGACTCAGTGCCAAAGTAATGCAAAGGCATAATACAGTGATATGATTTACACATGTTCAGCACTGTTAATTTTTGTTTCCATCCTTAGATTAGGCCCATTGAAGTGGAAATCTTATGAGGAACAAAAGTATGCAGAGAGTACAGAGCAATTTGAATAACAACTCT